CTCACTCAGAAGCAGTCTTGGAGACTTCTAAGCTCTGAAATTTTGTGAAATAGACAGAATTCAGAATAATTGTTTTAATTTGGCCAGAGTGTGATGAATTAATGCTTATTTGGGACTCTTTTATCATACAGTTCTGGACACGGGGTTAGTCATGCTATGCATGAATAGTTCGCAGAGTCAGCCCACTGGTCATAATGCCGAGCCATTCTATGCGTAAATGCTAATTTTGTGGAATAGTCAGATTTGTTAATTTTGAATTTTTTTTCAATTTTTTCAGCATGTCCATCAAGCAGTCATACCTTCGACGGAAAACATTCATATTTGACGATAATGGAAGAAGCTCCAAGTTTCAAAAATATTTCTGCATGTTCCTACTTAACAACAGATAAGCAGGGCCTTGTACCAGGAGTATTAGGGAGTCTTCAACACAGTGAAAAAGCCAGTAATTTTGCTGTGTTGGGGGAGAAATTTGGTAAAAACTACATCATACGTGTCAATTTGGAAGGGCAAACTAGGAAGTTTGTTACATCTTTTCCGACGAGTACAGAGTTACATATGTGTATGGTATCAAGCGTAGCTGACAATACCGTTACACTATTCCTTAACGGTAAAAAGACACGTACATTGAAATTTCCTCGTCTCATCGGTATACCTCAAGGCGGCGTCATCACTATCGGTAAAATTGAAAATGATAAATATCCAATGTACAAAGGAACGATTCGTAATTTCATGATGTGGGACAGAGGTTTATCCGAAGCTGAAATCTTAAAGATTGTTACAATGAATCATTGTCCCGCTGGAGCAAAGGTTACTCTTCTGGAAAGTGAAGTTGTTCCACAGAAAGACAATGTCCCATCTGATGGTATGTTGATTCCATTTTATTTTAAATTTTGCATAATCTAAAACGGTTTTTATATATTGGTTGTGGTCAAGGATAAGAATCTGCTACTCAAATTTTCTTCCTGAAATTTGTATATGGTTTTCAACTTGTTCAATATTATAATAAGACAGTTATTTGTTCATAGCTTAATTAGATTAAAAGACAATTCAGTTGCTGTTTATCAGTAACTATTTTGTACTATATCTCACAGCAGATCTTTTTAGCACCAAATAGCACTTAATAGAAGGGACTGTTGATAACAAATAACCGGTACTTAACCAAAACTTTTCCTGATTTGTAATTGTATAAATTTTGTTTTGTTCCAACATGTCATTATTAAAACACAAGTGTTGTCTGAGAATGCATACACTGGTTCATTTTTGTAAAATATATAGCAATATTTGGCATGTTGGTGCATGTCAAGGGTGCAAAATAAAGCTATGCTGTCTTCCCACAATCCTTTCTCATTTATATTTCTCAAAGTATTTTTTTTTATATCAGCTTGCATGGGCGATGAATACACTTTTGACAACAGCGGCGATAAAGTAGAATATGTTGAAGCCTCACAGTCAATCTCAAAGATGAAATTTGTCACTATATGTGTGAAAGTCACTACCAACATGTTCGGAGTAATTCCTGGTACAATAGCAAGTTACGCCACCAAGAACCAACCAGAAATGATATCTGTTGGAGGAGGCCTCGACAAAGATGGTGCAGAATTACGAATTACTGTAGAAGGAAAATCACAAATTCTAGACGGGCAATTCGCACCAAACACTGCATATCGTTTCTGTCTTGTGTACCATCTACCACACGGACATGTTGTTACTCATGTAGATGGCCGTAAAGCCAGAGAGCTCCAGTTCAGCACAATGGGTTACCTTCCGGGTGGGGGTTCAATCATTATTGGTCAGCATCAACGAAAATTAAGTGGTTGTTTTGACAAGTCTAAAGCATACAATGGAAAATTAGCAGAGTTTACAGTCTGGGATCGTGCACTCACTAGCGAAGAGCTAATGGAAATGGCAACTAAGTCAATCTGCCCAACAGATGCAATTGTAATGAGTGATAGAAAGAATGTTGTTCCTCATGGAAAATTCTACACTTATGCAAGTATGTTAAGGATAAATTGAATAGTTAAAAATATGCATAACATTTAACATCGACTTTAGAGTCTCAGTAATTAGTGAAAAAAGTTCCATTTTTTTTAAATTAATTCAGTTTATTAGTTTGCTTTATGATATATATCAATAATAGCTCTATTTTAGAATTCTTTTTATGCAATTTGCCATTTTCACATTTCCACAGAAACAAGGCTAACTATGTTATAGTTGTTAGTGTCCAATGTCGCTATTTGATTTGCCATATCCCATTCGCTTCAGTTATGTGAAATATACTATCTCGAAGATCTTTTCCCAATGTATTGAAATGAACTCTTTAAGTCTCGCATCTCACATTACTGTATTTTCTAACTACAATCCTATGCTGTAAATATTCATAATCTTAGTATCTCTTGACACTCCAGTGGTTAGGCTTATCTTTGCTCAGGAATAAATCTCTTTCATTTCTGAATGAGTGCATGACCTTACCTTGAGCGAATTTCTTTCGAAAAAACACATACTTTGTTGTTAAAAGTACTAGTAGAAGAATCCACTGGTTTGAAGACCATCTCTACATATCTAGATAATTTTTCGGACCTCCAGAAGTATGCGCACCAAGATGGCGCACAACCTGAACATAGTAGGTGTGTACCGGTTAGGATTCAGGCTGTGCGACATCTTGGTGCGCATACTTCTAGAGCACCAATTTTTCTATTGCACGAATGACTTATATAATTTCCCTTGCTACTTCTAGGAAAGTTCTAATTGAAATAAAGTTGGAAGGACTTCTGAAGGGCTAATATTCATATTTTTTCTGTAAATACCTCTTTCGTCTTTGCTCATCCTTAGGCGCTCCAGAAGTATGTGTACCAATATGGGGGTAACATATTTTGCTCGCCTACTTTACATCAAGTTGTGTAAAGGGACTGAAACCTATGGGTAGGGGGTATATTCACTTGGCTAACACAGACAGTCCCCGAACTCGTAATAGAACTAAAATAAGGAAAATGGAATAAAATCATGGCCTAACCCTAACCTGGTACACACATTACGAGAGTACCCATCCTTCTCTATTCTAATTGTATTTTATCAATCTTTTCAATAACTGTACGTATATTGTTTTCAGCTTGTCCCTCGGCAGATTTCACTTTGAGCAATGGTCCTTCAATTACTGAATACATTGTTGCATCACAGACTATTCCTGATCTTGATTATGTCACAACGTGTAGTAAAGTAACCACAAACGCGTTTGGAATGATACCGGGCACGATTGGATCATATGCTACAAAGGATCAGCCTGCCGGCTTTATGGTTGGAGGAGAAATGGGCCCCAATGGTCCCGCATTTCGTGTTACAGTCAATGGTCAATCTAACGTCAAGGATGCCCAATTTATGCCTAATACAGAATATTCTTTTTGTATATCTTTACATCTTCCACATGGTCATGCTTTAACTTACATAAATGGTCGATTTAGCAAAGATTTTGAATTTAAAAATCCAGGAAGTCTTGCCGGGAATGGTAAAATTATAGTTGGACAAAAACAAGGGTGTGTTGGCGGCTGTTTTGATGCCAAATCTGCTTTTGTAGGAAGGGTTCGAGATTTCACAATTTGGGATCGAGTTTTATCTGTGCAAGAAATAGCTGCGATACATGATTCTAACCAATGTCCTACAGATCAAGTTGTTGATAGTACCACTGGCAATGCCCAGAAAGTATCCAAACCTGCTGCGTAATATTTGTGAATATTTTTTTTAGGATGTGCATAATTGACATATTTGGTTAATATTGCATTTCAAAATATTACTCGTTTTGATGCTTGTGAAATATAATCTGTGTCATTGTATTGCTTGCTGATAAATGCTTTTATTTGTATCGAAAGTTAAGGTTGCATCTATAGTCCATGATAAGTGAATAGGAATGAGAGATGTTTTAAAAAAGTCTGATAATAACAGTCCATAAGGAAGAATTTGGTATGAATTGTTTGTCTAATTATTTAATAACTAAAGGAATACATGAAAGATATCTGTCTTGGATTTTCATTAGATCTTTTATTTGAAATAAAATCTAGAGTTCAAGCATTTATGCGTGTTATTTTATTGAGGTGTAATGATCTTGAAGATACAGGTTATCCTTAATTTCCAAGCAACTGAATGTCTGCAAACATCTCAAAAATACAATATTTTTGGACACAAATATCACTGCTATCTCTTCTGTGCGTGCATTGAACATGCACCATCAAGTATGAGATTAGTCATGCCTTACTTGGAAAAGTAGAAAGGCCGCTTGGTGGTGTAATTTTAGTAAAAATCTTGGGGAGTTGTTGAAAAATTCAAGTTTTTAGTTCAAAAGTTGGAGTAGAAAGTGGGTTTTGTCTAAACAGTATATAAAAACAAATCAGAAAAATGGTTCGTTGGTTCGCTTTGCGTGCAATTATCATCATTCCTAGTTGAATTCTATTTTTAACTCTTGATTTACTGCTTCTACACAGTATTTTGTAAGTGAAAGTTATTGTATCCTATTGAATGCAGAATTTTTTTTGTTTGGCATATGAACAAGGAACAATATCAGACAATATTATTTTTCTTCGATGTTGTATTATTTATGTTGGGGTTGGCAGAAATGTAGTGATTTAATAAACTTATTGGATTTTTTGAAAGTTGTTTAAAAAATCAAATTGCAAAATTTTAGATAAAGATCTCGATGGTTATCTGTACATGAACATTTAATGTTTTATCATTGCAGTGTAAACTTGTTATTGCGTCGCCATGCCAAGGTTATAATAACCACTGATTTCTGCATTGCGCGCAATTAAGGGTAAAGTCGCACACAACTCCCAAGCCGTGAATCTTTTAAAAATAAACTCAAACTTCATTAAATTCAAAATTCTGACTTCGACTCTTGGGTGTTACAATAGCGGTGACTCTAGAAAAACATGACAAACTACTGCTCCACGGCATTGGATTTATGGCCGACAAAATTCTTAATCAAACAGTCTCAGCAACCTTGTTTATTTTTTCAGTTGAAACAATCCTTGGATTGACTGGTGCAACAATGGGATCCATCATCTGTTTCATCTTTCCTGCTTTGATATTCGATAAAGCGAATCCTAAAGGATCAGGATTTGTTGCCAAGGTTTGTGATGCTAAATATCGGGGGAAACATTTTAAGTTCATTTCCTCAACTTCAATGCTTGCTAAGTCACCAAGATTTAGGTACTCCTGAAGTATGCGTACCAGGTTAGGGTTAAGCCATTATTTTAGGTACAAATACCATGTCAGTCACTTGACTAGTCCCCGATCTCATAATAGAACTAAAATTAGAATAAAATTATGATCTAACCCTAATCTGGTACACATACTACGTTTGGGTGTCCGCCATCTTGGTACGCATACTTCAGGAGTACCAAAATTTATACTCTTTCATCACTGGCTATTTAAAAATGCCTAACAGTGAAATCTTGTGGAGTTCAAGAGGATTTCATTTTATTCATAGCTAAAGCTGGGTTGACAAAAAGTCTGCCCTGTCTCCAATTTGAAAAAATTAAACTTAGTGCCTCAGATTCTAAGTTGAAACAAATTTTGACGGGGAAAACGTTTCAGTTTCTGATAAAAAAATCTGGCGTATTGTCTTTTTATTTTTATGTTGGGAATTTCTACTGCCAACTTTCAAAGGGTTTAAATTGTGGCTGTCAGAGTATTACAAATATTGACCACGACTCTCCACTCTTTGAGTCGTTTAATTAAAACTAACAAAGTAGCAAAAAAACCTTTATCTTAGCTTAGAATGATTGTCTAGCTTTGTTGGCATTGCAGATCAGACCTTTCAGTTACAAATTATATCAAGTTCATATAGCCAATTCAAGTCTAATCGAGGCAGTTCTTGTTCACCTACACCTTCTAGGAACTAACACTTGTTTCTCTAATTGATAGAGGAATTGAAAAACATTGAACCACCCGACCCCTTTGTGCGTTGCAAACCTTTTACCTGAGTCCAATTTATTATGCTTATGACGTTACAATGCTTTTTTGTGCCCACAACTACTAGAAAGCCCATGTTAAATAAAGTTGTGGCTCATGGTTTTCTACAGTTATTTGTATCTGGCCCTCCTGTAGTAAAGGTTGCACACCCCTGATGCACAGCATTGGGATTATTACGCTAATAAGACAGGGTTGAGTGAAACTCAACCACCATTGTGACAGAATAAAGCATGAATTAGTAGTTGTTCTGATCTTGCTATGGTTTACCTACCGTAATTGCTCGTAAATATATTTTTCAGTTTGTGTTTGTCGTCGGCTGTCTACTGCTTGTGGTCTGCACTTATTCAAATCTTGCAAACACTGGAACTGCTGTTGTGGTTGAAAATAAAACTCCTCTTGTTCATGATGGTAAGCAGATGATTCTTTATTTATCATGAAGATGAGGGGAAGTTCAACAAGATGGCTCAACAGTGTGGCACACCATGCTTAGCATTAGGAATACGCTCGCCACCGCATCTTCGATTACTCTGCGTGGGTTCGCAGGTTCAAATCCCATGCGTAGATAGTTATGTGCGAGAGGATTGCTGGACTCCTCGCCGTTGTAGGGTGGTTCACGTAACCACTGGTCGGCTACGGCTTCCTTCACCATCAAGTCCATGCTTTCGAAAAACAAATAACTTAAACTAATCCCATACCCGACATAGACTGGTATCCGGGTGAGAGGCTATGGTTCGCCCTATGATTACGCCGTCTCATCGCCTTTTCTCTCCCCGGGATAAAAATGTAAATTCTATCCTATCTTTCCATGGCCTGTCGTTCGATTCCCAATCAGAGGCATGGACTTTATGGTGGAAGAAGCAGCAATCGTGCATGGTAATCAGAGGTGGGATGGCAAGAGAGTTTAGCACAATGTACTAGTTGCCGAGCGAAAAGCAAGAATTGACAGAATTAAGCATTGAAATTACAGCAAAATAATGTTTCATTCTAATTCAGTTGCTAGGTCTTAATTATTTTATATTTAATTATTCTTATCCAGTTTTATTTAATTAAAATAAGTCTTAATTATTTTTCAGAACCCAAATTACCAGCTATTGATCCTCGTGACATAAACAACAACCCAGTAGTCGATAAACCAGTGGAAACTGATAACAAAGTTATTGAAAAAGATGAGCCTGATGATGGAGGAGGACAAGATAAAGATAAAGCAGAGGTTTGATCTTTTGAGACTTACTGATAAAGTGTTAATGAAGCGACATCGATAAGATTTGTTATTTTGGCAGTGGAATAATGATTTATGTCAATTTGATACATATCATGGTTTTTATGGGAAATAGTTACTTTTAGAGCATACAATATTGAACATACAATAGAATGAATATATGTTCGTTTCATAAAATTTAATAAAAATCATGATATGGCATATCACAATATCAAAGTTTTGAATAAAATTATTGAAAATTTGTGATACAATTGGTTTGTGTGTCGTATTTTACCGAGTAAAATTAGATATTATTATGATTTTCTCACAAATAACTGTAATTAATTGGGATTGTTCGAAATAGAATTTAATTGCGAAGCACATTTTCAGAATATTTAGATATTTACTCAAATCTTTATTACTTATCGATCTTAAGATCGTAAGTATGTTGATAAGTATTTGTCTGTTTGTATGTTTGTTTGTTTGTCTGTTAGATACACGCAATATCTCAGGAAAGCGAGGTTTAATCTGCTTCAAATTTCGCATGTGCATTCATCATAGTTCGGAACAGGAGCCTATCGATTTTGGATGGATTATGTCGTATAATTAGCGAGTTATCAATTAATTAGTGATGGTGATGGGGCACACGGTGTCACTATGGAGTAAGACCACTGTTTTGGGGGATCCCCTAACCTCCGATCGATAAGTCTTCCGTTTCCAACCGAATTCTAGTTATTAAAAGTTTGTTTTCTTCTAGGCTGTGGCTGAAGTGCATGATGATGAACACAGGCACGAGCCTCCCATTCCAATTGATCCAGACAATCCTGCAAATGGGAATGATAATGTAAAGTCACCTGAAGAAGATCAGATTGATACTGGAGGAAATAATCCTGTAAGTAGAATTGTTAATTTCCAATTACTTTACTATTTTAGAATTTTATATTTTGCCAGTACATTTAATTTTGATTAAGTATATTCCAAATGCATATGTTTTGTATCAAAATCTTGGCATTTACTAATCTTTACCATAAAATTCAACATGCATTAGTTTCAAGTTCCGTTTGGAATATATTTAATATTTTAGAATTTAATCTTGCTCCATAGTGCTTGAGCGTCTTTTGTTCCAAATTTCACACAGTAAATTGCTATTTACTGAAATTGAAATTAGTTACCTCCATATCAGTACACACACTTCTGGACTCTGGAGTGCCTTTATTTCTGCCTTATGGCTATAATAATATTAAAATTGTCTCACCAAAGAGTCAAATTGATTGATCACTGCCAGTTTTTCATTTCAATTTTTTCCACAGGTTGAATCAGAGAAAAAACTCGAAGATCAAGTTCAGGTGGATCCTGTAGTTCCGAAGGACGACTTACCAAAACAAGTGAGTTGAGTTTGAATAATAACTTTTATGAAATAAAACTTTACTTACTATCATAATACACTCAACAGAATATGAGCAACTGATAGGCATAACTTTCGAAAGGAAATTTGCCTAAGCTTGGTTGAACCTGACCAAAAGTAGAGAAACTTTATTTGAAGGAACATAAGTCAGCGCAATGTGCTATGTGTAAAAAAATACCAGCCATTATCCGGGACATTGGTTCTCCACCTTATTTGTTTCGTGGCCCACTTTCGTTGCACTATGATTCTGTGGCCCGTTAAATTTCTCATGCAAGGCAAAATATACAAGAAAAACAAAAATTCTTTCCGCAAAAATGAACAATTTCTCTTTAATAATTAAAATGAAAACGAGAATATCGGTCGGAGACCGAAGACTTATCGGTTTTGATTCATGACTCTATGGTGACACCGCGTGTCCCACCACTACCGATCTAAAGATCGATAAGTAATTACCACTCAGTAGCTAAAACAGCATCATCATTCATTGCCACTGTAATCAAATTGAACTAATTCATCGAGAACTCTAGCAGTTTTTGATAGGTCATGGTATGGCCCAGATGGGGGCCATGGCCCACTGGCTTAGAACCGATGACATAGGATGCACATACGTACTGATGGATTGCTGAGCTTTTGCTATTGGTGAAAGATGAACTAAACAGGAGACTGAGTACATACTAAGGTTTTCCATGTGGTAGAACCATGTATGTAACCTACCCATTCAGTAGATCTTGGCAAATTGCTGAGCATCAAAATTTAGATGATGTTTGACTTATGACAGTATTGCGTACCCAAGTTCATTTACATTTCATTTAAATATTTTCTTCTTAGGAATCTCCTAAAGTAGATTCAAACATCCAACCTCCAGAGGAAAAACTAGAAGAGGAGCGCCAGAATCCTCCTGTATTATCACCAGTGGAAAAACAACACCAGGAACCTGTAGAACATCCTAATATAGCTGATCATCAAGCTGTAGAAACACCAAAGAAAAGCGAGGATATCCCAGTGAAACGGTACATTCGGGTTTTCGACTCTCTTGTGGCTAGCGTTTTTGATCAACTGAGTTTGTTATGAATCTTGGGTTTGTACCTATCTATAGCTGTTTTTGTACAGCTTTGCTCAGCGAAATCAGACCGTAAAATTTTTTTGATCAAATCTCCCAAAATGAGAAAGCTACTAAATGAGATGATCTATTGGAATTGAATTTTGTTGTTGTTTGCTTCATAGTCAGGGATTTCATATTTTTATCAGGTATGGGACAGTTCTGTAGGACTTAATGGCAAATCACTACCATTCCATTTTCTTCATTCTTTCAATTCTGTAATTCCTGATAACTTTCAATTCATTTTCTCATATCCAGTGAGGCTTCCAAAGACAATGTAGAAAAAATGAATTCTCCCGTTGATGAAGCAGAACAACAACATCACGAAGTAAATCAACCAAAAAGTCTTTCGAAAGAAGAAGAAATCCAGAAACAACCTCCTCCAGGTTTGATTTATGGTACTCGCATAGTGTGTGTACCAGGTTAGGGTTAGGCCATCATTTTATTCTGATTTTTTTTTCATTTTAGTTCTATTGCAAGTTCGGAGATTGTCTGTGTTAGCCAAGTGATTATACCCCCTGCTAGGCTTGCACGTAATTGACAAAAATCAATTCCGTAATTACGGCAAAATCAATTACGTAATGACCCCGTAATTGCGATATTTTTCCACGCATTTAAACCTATCGTAACAACCAATTGAATCCACTTTTTTTCCGAATGGGACATTGAAGTTGGGTTTTCCTATTCTTGGCAGTACTACACGCCGGCGGCAGATGTTAAAGACAACTATCAAGGAGTGAATTCAAATTAATTTTATTCTGATTTTTATCTTTTGTGTTAGCTTTGGTTTTTCTTTATCACCTTCGCAAATTAACCGTCCCATTTTTATGCGATCAATTTTATTTTATCATTACCGACACTGGTATACGGATATTTATGGAAACGATAGTTTTTTAAAACCACCTGAGTACTGAATAAAAATTACGGGTTTCTAATTTATTAACCAACAACGATTTCCTCGCGACGAAGACTTGTTTTTGCAGCGTTTTCTGCATTATCCGACATTACTGCCTTGTTAGCATTTTTATAATAATAATTATTGATGTCGACTTATTGACGATATTCCTATTACCATGCTTCATTTTACATTCAATCATTTCGCGGACTGAATGTTTATAACATTATTTGCGATAAATTTAGATAAAATATTATTTATTTGCGTATAATTTAAATACCGAACTTATATGACATGCCTTCTCCGAAAATACAAAGTTATATCGCAAAACAATGCATTTTGTGACATTTATTTTACACTCACAACATTTATTTGCTAACTCAAGTCGGCGATCCTATTGGCCAAGATTGACAAAAGTTTGGTCGAGTGCCGGTGGTATTCAAGTCGACGATAAATCAAAATAAGTTGCCGCATTTGGTAAGACAGTTAATCATATATGGCCGAAATATTGAGAGGAATTGTGAAAAACATCATGAGCAAGGCCAAGTCCGGACTGATATATAACGATAAAACCGTTAACAGAACATCAAGATTTTGTAATAGAAAATGGATCTCGCACAGAATAAACACACAGGCTCATATTTATTTATATATGATAGCAGTTAAATTTTCAACGGTCCGCGAGGAATCCGTCGTTTTGGTTCATTACGCAATCTCTCTTTTGTCGTCACATTGCTATTTGATAAGCGCGACATTAATTATCACGGCGAGGTATTGGCGCGAGTGATCAATCGCTCTTTTCGCTTATTTGGTTCCAATTCGTCGCGAAAGCTCTTCGTTAAATTTCACAAGATAGTCGTGTTGAAAGGTTATGGATATTTTCCTGTTTATACCCCAAGTCTGAAATGAAACAGCCAAAAATAATATGATATTCCATGTTCATATATCAAGTGTTGATATTAACAATAAAGAATGGTTAAGCATTGCTAATCCACACTTGGTGGGGAATTCCCACTATTCAAACGCGTGACTATAAAATAGAATAAAATAGAAACGGAACATATATACCATAAGTAACGGAAAACTGGAACAAGTAAATAATAAATAAAAGTAAAATGGATACAAATGTTTGATAGACCATGTTTGATAGATTGATCTCCTGCGTTCATTAGTCATTTCACCCGAAGAAGTTGAAACCGGGCGTGTTAGCGTCCATCTGTCTTAACACAATTCTTCCCCCTATCTACGGTTATATGTACATTGGCCATGGCCATGCTAGATAAGATGCGAGAGAAGTTGAAACCAGGTGTGTTGGCGTCAATCGGTCTCAACGCAATTATATCCCTTATCTACGGTTAAGTTGCGGGAGAAGTTAAAACCAAGTGTGTTGGCGTCAAACGGCCCTACTCAGTTTTGCCCCATTAACTACGTTAATAATTTACATTGGCCACGCCAGATAAGTTGATAATAGGTTAGTAAATGGCAACGCGTCATGCCTTCCTTCACCTACGTAACAAGAGAGAGAAAAACGGCTGCGAATACCGGAACTCTAACTTCTTCTACTTGTTGAGCTTTCATTTTCGCAATCGACGAAATTGACTGCTTTGAAGAAAGCTCGTTTCAATGCAATAATTACGACTTTACGTAATTCGTAACTTCCCTTCCGTAACTCCAAATAATTACGTAATTCCGTAAATCCGTAAATTACGTGCAAGCCTACCCCCTGCCTATAGGCTGCAGTCCCTTTACACAACTTGATATAAAATAGGCGAACAAAAAAACACACACTTCTGGGGGGCCTGATATTTTACTAATCAGGAATTAATATAAGTTTGGATATCTTCTAAGCTCTGTACAGACAGACATCCAAACATATTATTAAAACTAAGATGTCCCAATTTTTTATATCTTCGTTGAGATGGTACCTGCTCTTCAAGTGTGCGGCGAGACTCTTGAATCCCAAGACTTTATTATTTTATTCTTAACAGTCCCTCAACAACCGGGAATAGCAGCCAAAATACCACCAAGCAACGTCAAACAAGAAGTCAGACTACCAAACCAAGAAGTTCATGTTCAACCTCAAGTTGATCAAAATATTCAACAACAACAACTGCAGCAACAACAACAACAACTGCAGCAGCAACAACAACCAGGTCAACAAAATGTCATGCAACCTCAAGCTCAACAAGGGATTCAAGAAGGCAAGGAAATAGTGAAACCTGATTCTCCAGGGAAAGTAGTTGATCCTGCTCAAGAAAAGGTTGGTAAATAACTGATTCTTAATGTAACTAGGCATTAGAAATTACTGTTTTTTTTTGTGAAAATTGTTATATATTTTTTATTTAAAATTAACCCTTCTTAAATTCGAATATGTGAAATTTCTGTTTTTCTATAAAATTTTCTATATAAATAATTCATTCTAACATTCTCAGGAACTTTTGGAAAAGATAAAAATCCAGCACGATAAACAACAACAATTGTTAATTGAACAAGAAGAATTAATCAAGAAATTAGAAGAACATCAAGATAAGAAAGAGTGAGTTCTGTCAATTACTATTTTTTAAAAACCTTAAGCTAGTGGTCCTCAACCTTTTTTGATACATGCATCCCTTGGTCTTGGTCTATTTTAAAACTCTGATAAAAACTTGATTTGTTACTCAGTATTCACTATTCAGCAGATCATTAACTTGAGATGCGTGCTACCCTCTAACTCAGTGGTTCTCGAAATTTTTTAAGCCACGCCCTTTTTTTAGAATTCGTCAAGTCTCACGCCCCATCTCAGAAATAACTAGCTAACAATAAGCTACAAATAACAGATATTAAGACGAAAGTATATTTTATTCAAAAATCCCATTGAAAATATGTGGATGGCACAGAAATAATGAAATAAATATAAATATCCAGTATAAGGCAGGCAAGATCAAATTTATTAACTACTTTTAATTTCAATTATCTTAACGCCCCCTCAAAAAATTGTCTGTAGTGGTAATACCACACATAAGTATTGAGTGAATTAGAAAAAACTGCCTTAAGATTTTATTAGCTCAAACATCAACTAAGTGTCACAAGCAACTCAACCCAATAAATGACTTTCAAGTCAAAACATCATGTGGCTATAGGACATATGGTTTATGTCAGCTGGGACAAATGCTTTGCTTGTGCACCAGTGTATTAGTTCATTTCACTACACAAATCACCACATTTTATTCTCGACAACATTAGGTATTCCTGAGTGTGTGTACCAGATTAGGGTTAGGGCATAATTTTATTCTGATTTTCCTAATTTTAGTTTTACGAGTTCAGGAACTGTCCGTGTTAGCCAATAGAATATACCCCCTGCCCAAGGGTTTTATTCCCTCTACACAACTTGATGTAAAGTAGGCGAATAAAATTACGGTAGTTACCTCCATATTACTACACACACTTCTGGAGGATTGGAGGATGCAATTGAGTATAGAAATAGTTATATAGTTCGAATGGGCTTCTTCCATAAAGGGCATATTGCTGCGGCTTACCATGCATGAGTTCACAGCTTCAAATAAGCACATAATTTTCCCCACATAGAATTCGAACCTGCGAGCCACACAAGGTTATTGGAGAGGCTGTGGCGAGAGTATCCCTAACGTTTAGCATGATGCGCCACACCACATAGCCGGTGTAACAAATATGGTTAGATAATTGGGCATTTACATACAATTCTATTTTTTAGACAGGCAGGAGAAGAAAAGCCAGAGTTCCTCGACAACAATGAAAACAGAGGAGAAAATGCACCAGTGATTAGACCAGTTCAACCTGTGGCAGGAGACTCAAATAAGGCACCGGTGGCACCAATTGGTGGCATAAACACAGGCATGGACAAACAAAATGACATGCCAGATAAAAACGTAATGCCACAACATCAGGGTGGTGGTGAAAAAGTAATGTTAGGGAGAGAGATATTGTCTGATGATCTTGGCACACCACAAGTGCAGGGTGACATTAATGAAGCGGCACAACATATAGTGCCACAAAATAATCAACAGGTGCCACAAAAGGATGACATACTCTTGTCAGAAGATAGGCTTCATGTTGAAACGGAAGAGAAACCTGTTATTAGACAAGAACGAGCTCTTGGAGATTCTCCGGAAGAAATAGACAAAGAAATTGAAAAAGAACTTTCAAAAACAGAAAAAGAAGACTCAAGAGTAAATAATGAGAAAATTTTAGAGAAATCGGAGGATAGTTTTAATTTGAATGCTAAAATTATTGAAGCAGATATCCAAAATGAACAAGGGCAAATTAGGACCCAAAATGGCGATCTTGAAAATGATCAGGGTGAAAAACTAACTCAAAATGATGAAATTGAATTAAATTCTCAACATTCAGATAACAGTATTAATAACCCTATAGAAGCTAAAAATGCAAAATTAGAGAATCCATCCCCAGACTCAAACGACCTTGACAAAGCTCTTGATGAGACGGTCAAGGTCGAAGCAGAAAAAATGATTTCTGATTGTTTAGAAGACGATGAAAAATGTTGGCAAGGGAGAGGGAAAATGAGGGAATTAAAATCTCTGGATCAAATCGATCTGTGATAATTTATTCGAAGTTAGATATGTGCTACTGATGTTCATTTTTCCCGGATTCAGATTTTTCTTGTTTAGTCATGCTTTTACCTCGTTTTAAAGGCTAGATTCGATTCTCAAAAAAGTAAAATGTAATACAGGGTGTCCATAAAGTTTTGAATATTTTTTAAATTGCAAAGGGAATTTATCGATACCATATATTGTTTTGGTCCTTATGGATGTATTATTAAATGAAGTAAAAATACTTGAACAAGTACTGATTGAAAAACAACAAACCTGGTTAAGATATATTGAGAACTGACTTAATAACAAAATTAAAATTGTAAAGGGACTTTATGGACACCCTGTTATTTATTTGAGACCATATACTTGCAAGATTCGGATAAATTATTTTACGGTTTGCATTTACTGGTTGAATTTTAAAAAAATGAATTAGGATCTCCAAACTAAGCTGGTTTATTACCAAGATATCGGTGCTCCCGAAGTATGCGAACCAAGATGGCGGACATCGGAACGTAACGTGGGTAACAGGTTAGGGTTAGGCGCTAATTTTTTTCCAATTTTCCTTATTTTAGTCCTATTATCAGTTCGAAGACTAGCCAAGAGCCTCCCGTAGTATTCATACCTAAAATTATGGCCTAACCCTAACCTAGTACACATATTACATTCCGATGTCCGCCATCTTGGTTCGCATACTTCGGGAGCCCCAAGATATCTTTGTATTCAAAATTATGTTTGAGATGATCCTGTTAAAACCAGGGAAAATGATTTTCGGATCTATTTATTATTAGAGCTCCACGCTAGTGATCATAACCCTTCTAGGTGGGAAGACCGAGCATTAAACTTCGGATGAATTTTGTTTGCCAACTCAATATTTTATAACTCTGGATCATTTGTTTCTTATTAAAGCCAAATTATTGCGATATTGGACTTAAAATATCAGAGTAACCACGGGCCTGGCAACCATCAAGCAGTACATATCTTTTCCAGTATACAATACCCGAAGGCTTCAATTTTATTTGTTTTTTGGATCAATAAAGTTTATTTGTTTTATATTTTATATCAACTGAGACGAATTATGAGCCATCCTACATTTATTTCTACTTTTATTTTAACTTCTCTTTTGAGTCACATAATAATGTTAAGCAATGTTCCAGAATCACAGTCGGAAATATAGTGGAGATACTTACTAAAAGTTAATTAATTGAAGCATAAGAGTGTGTGGCATGTTAAATATAAAGAATTCTATTTGTGGAGAAAAATAAATAATTTCATGACAAAAAATTGTGCGTTTTTGCTTTTGAAAAATTAAAATTTTAAATGTATTTTGCGATACTAAATCTCAAAATTATGATTTTTTTGGATAGTTGGATTATTTCATTAAAGCAGTGCTTTTCAAGCGTCAATGATTTATGGCTCCCTTCCAAAAACGATTGTGGCACTCTGCTTTTCTATAAAAATACCTTGTCCTGCTTATAACACATTTTCATCAGTATTTGTGCTTCATGGCTAAATAATATGAAGCCTGCAAATGAATAAATAAATGTTTTACTCTAAAAAATTTAAACAAATCACAGTTAATTTAGTTTACGTTAATGTAGTCATCACAAATTGTAATTTGTCAAAGGGTTTGCTTGTGCCCCCCAGATAATCCCACTGTTGTTAGCCCAGTTTAAGAAACCCTGCATTATGGAAAAAATGAGCATTTTCAGATATGTTGATATTCTGACTTTTCAATACATTAGTTCTCTTTTAAAAAAAAATTTTTTTCATTATATGAAGTTTGTGTTGTATTATTTACATGATAATGCAGAGGATACAATAGTTTGGGCCTAACTTGTCCATATTTTTATGTGCTGGTTATACATAGTTATGCTGGCATTGTTTGTAAGCTTCATCAAATATGATTTCGAATAAGAATATCTCAATTAGTTATTTGTTCGAGTATTTTTTGGCCTTGTTTTTCTGTTTTTTTTTTTTTATTGGTGCTTCTAACGGTGTAAACGTCACAAATTCATACTTGGCTAATGGGTAAATTATATGTTTGTTTTGAGACGGACAGAAGTGATTTTTGGAATTATTTGCTTTCAATTTTCATTTCTTTCTGTTATTTAAATCATATAAAAATACAAAGAGGGGATAAAAAGGGCTGTGAGGTTGATGGGAAAATCTACCAGCAATCCCAGACACCGGGTTGGAAATAATTTTAGGTTGGCTACAAGTTAAAAAAAAATTGGGCTTCAATTCCAGCCCAAAGTCCATGAAAAAAATCAAATTTTGATATCGAATTTGGCTTATGTAAGCCTTCTTTACTAGACTGTTGATTCTTGAGTCTCTCAAGTGAATTCTAATCACCATCGAAAGTTTGAAATTTCGGCTCCAGGACAATCAGAATTTCGACTTCAGACATGAGTTTCAAATATGACTCTGACTCCAGTAAAACTTGTCAAACTCTGACTTCACAGCCTTGGATCATAAAATATCCTTCAACACCTGTCCATCTCTCAAAAATATGAAAATTACCCCTATGCTGAGTATGATTTTGTGTCAATTTTTGAACAATCGGTACTTCGGAAATGCAGTATCTGGAAAATATAATTTTATCTTTATATTTGAATAATTTGGTAATAATGAAGCAGTACTTACTTCATTTTTGTGACGCCAAACTTTTACAATTTTTTTTTTGTCAATTTTAAATTAAGTTACTGAGCTATTTTCAGTAGCCATAGTCTTGTAAAGTACGATTGGGTCTCTCTCACTTGAATTGCGCAATTGTTCTGAATACTTTTGTATTGGTGTTTTATTTGATCATTAGGTGAATTAATTTGGTTGGTGAATTTCGCTTCAGAAGTGTATGTATGGAAGTAACTTAATTTGTTCGCCTACATCAAGTTGTGTGAAGGGACTGAAACGTATGGGCTACTACTTGGCTAACACAGACAATCCCCGAACTTATAATAGAACTAAAAGACAGAAAATCGGAATAAAATTATGTCTTACCCCTAACCTGGTACACACACTACGGAGTACTTTCACTTTTGCTACAGCATCCTTGCATTTATATCATCAGGATCGACCAAAGCAAAAGCATAAGCGAATGATAAGTGGCTTAAAACTAATTCTATATATTTCTCATATCAAATATTACTAAGTTAGAATGTATTTGATGATTCGACTTGTATTGGACATCCTTGGCTTCTCGTTCCTTATTAACACTATGCATTTAGTTAGCTCGGTTTAGTTATGCTTGTATGGTTTGTGCAAATCGTTTCCTGGAATGCCAGGTTTCAGAGATATCTTTATTTTACTTCAGCTTTTGCTTCTATGTTTGTGTGTTTTAAATTGTATTGAAAGCCGACTTGAGAAATATAATTTTGCTTTGGAAAATCAAGGTTTAAGACCGAGATGGCCGGAGTTTCAGCTGTGTTGGAGACAATTAATTCTGTGGCAAAAAGGTTAACATCATAGCAATGGAATTGTACAACAAAAATGGGTGCTCCCGAAGTATTGAACCGCACAACCTGAACATAGTATGTGTACCAGGTTAGGGTTCAGGTTGTGCGCCATTCGGTATACATACTTCCGGAGCGCCAAAAAAATGTTTGTAAATTTGAACACAATGAAAATATGCCGACGTGTTTTCACATCGGGGATAGCTTTATTGGATACATAATGGACCTATGAATAGTTTTGTTAAATTATTGTTTTTGAGGAGAGAATATCTTCGAACCCTTGGATTTAAATTATCATTACTCTGAATGTGGTAAAAGTAGTTAGAATGCTGTTACTTTGTTTCATATTTCCTTTAGAGTTCTATGGGACCGTTTTTATTAACACGGTGGTTACACTTTCATCACCTTTGGAAACATAGTTCACCACTCTCGTCTGCCGATGGTGATACCATGTGTCGATAATATTTGAGTTTTGCTTTATTGTTTTACAAACGGTTGCAAGACCGTACCTGTAGGTCTGGAATTATGAAAAACGATTTAGATGGCAAAATTTTTCATTGTCTTACATACCGGTAGGCTTAATCCTAGCTTAAAGTCTGTAATCCCGGTATGCCTTTTGGCAACCCTGCCAATGCGGTAGCGATTTCAAACAGGGTTAATGGACGAGTTGATCTAGCAAAGTAGTTGAGAGTAGACCAATTCACATTTTATCGCAGATTTCCCGTGTGAGTTCGCAGGTTCGAATTTTGTGGAGGTAGCTATGTGGGAGAAGATTGCTGGATTCATCGCCACCCAATCGTGGTTCACGTAGCCTCAAGTCAGTTACAGTTTCCTGCGCCATCTAGTACATGCACCGGAAAAATAACTGGTTGACTAATCCCATAACAATACGAGAGGCCGTGGTTCGTCCGTATGATTCAACCGTCCATATGTACTTTCCTCTAACCGGGATAAATATAAAAATCCTTATCTATGTGGAGCAGGCAAAGGCGTGCCAGACTTTTCTTCTGCCTAGGGCGAGTTTATGATATTGATGCCCCTTATATCGAACTTTAAAATTTATTCGGGGGATGAACAAACTATGGCTATTGTTGTACATGAGAATAAATAAAAGGCCAAGTAAGAGTGAAATGTTTGTATTATTGATTAATTATTATTATTATTAATTATTGTATTATGATTGTCAAACTATGCAACAAACTCAGATATATATATAAGATCAAACTCAGTTATTACCAATAAGCAAGTCACTTAATTCGAATTCCAATCGCTCCTTTGCTGTCTACAAATGTTTGGACGCGATCAACTAATGGCCACTGGCCAGCGAGCACATTGGCGGGAAAAGACAGTCGGCTATTCCTGGCTCGCATTCAGTCACACAAAACTAAATGTCAGATGAATCTTCCGTATTAATCTCAGAAGATCCTATGAAAAAACATCTTCCATTCCTTCATCCTTGTTCCCACCATTCATAACCAATAAATTACAATACCTACCTCAGTATCAATCCCCTAATTTAAATATATTATACTTGAACTGTTACCAGTAGTATTTAATAATTTATGTCTTCTGAACTAGGCCTACAATTTGGCAATATTTTGGCATGTCTTTGTTGAATGAAAAAGCTTTGCCCGCCTCTGCATGCACTCAACTTTGGCAACTTTGGTTGGGCAATTTGGCATTTTGACTCCAATTATAATCAGCTTGACGAAATCATTTTTTTGTCCTTATATTAAATACGGTTCACTCTTGTTTGGGAATTTTTATAAAATTGTTTAAATGGTGTGGCGAGCAATTCTTATCATTTTTTACATTTCATCTTTTATTCTAATTTCATTTTTACGTGTTTATTTATTTATTTTTTGGTTACCATATAATTTATCTAAAGCCTCTCTCATTTTTCACACCCTGATCTCATAATCAGTTTTTATTAATTTGTTTTTATCGACCATTTTTTTGCTGACTATGGAGTCGAAATAAACTTATCTTTTACTGAAATAAAAACACATCGATAAAAACGTGTGATAACCTGCCTGCGGGGCCTCGTGTGAAATGGACTGCGCGACCCAGCCTGGATAGACATAAAATAATTCCTAAACTTTTGTCAACTTTCAAATCAATTATTTACATTTTATCAACCTGTAACCGAATACAATATCATGATCAAAGTAAGTTTATTCCACGAATCGTGCGTATACAAAATAAAAGTGCTGGCAAAATCGTTAACTGTAACTTATACCTAGAAATGGTGCGGGGTTTGCTGCGGCCGCACAGTTTGAGGTGGCCAGGAGGCACGCACTGCCCCTGTATTTGGCGCTATCCTTCTCCGGTAAAATCAGATTGATATCCTAATTACACAAGTATAATTTAAAGTGTCAATGTATTTTATTGCAAAGCGTATAATGTACAAAGAAACAGCATTTTTACACTGGCATGATTATAAAGGTTGGTCGCTATAAAAGCAGAAAATTTGAAGGTCAGATTAGATCACAAATAAAATGCTTATAGGTAGGCTTACCATACGTCCCGCTTTAGGCGGGACAGTCCCGCTTTTCAGAGTGTTGTCCCGCCGTCCCGACAAGTCAGCCAAAAGCCCCGCTTTTGCGTTCAGCCATCCAGAATAATACACGAACATGTTCTCGTTACTGTTGTTTCTGTGTAGCGCAGCGCTAGCCTACTTACTGAGGGTGAATGCGTTCGTTTCCCACTGATTCCAATTGATGGCAGACGTATCGCATGTAAAACCAATACTAATTAGTCTAAATTCGAATTATTTGTGCCGGTATCGTTAACGTCAATTCCATTCTATTTTTCGAACTGGACCCGATATTTGGACAGAGAATATATATGCGCATGTAATTTCGATAACAATATGGTCAATAAAGACAGCCGGGACAGCTCTAAATGTAGAAATGTAGGCCTATGTAGTAAAATCGGAACAGGTGAAGTTACAAGATAACAGCTAAGGGGTTGTTGTCTTTTGAGGCGTCCCGATTTGAAGTCACAAAAATATGGTAACCCTACTTATAGGTAAAGGTTGAATTGGAACGATATCCCACAAGTTAACCTTCAAAGCGCTACACGAGTCTGGACTTGTAGGTTAAGACACTGCTCTGAGGTACACGAACCACATTTTGAGCATCCATGAGTGTAATACAACATATGCCTTTAGAAGAAAACTTGTAAAAGTCATTCGTTGTAAAAACAAACTACCGGTATTAGTCAAATTTTCTGTTTTTCTAGCGACCACCCTTTATTAGGTCTTAGCAACCGTCAACCATTTTATCACAGGTCGGAGGATATACTTTCGTCGAAATCATTCTTTTAATAAGTTCAGCAGTTGCGTGTTCACAGGATCCTTCCTCGCCTGAGTATCCTTTACATCGGGCTGTTGTTCCTGTACCGGTATCAGTGCATTCGCATTCCCATTTAAGTTTCCATGAATGAATGTAACTGCCGGTTTTGCATCTCATCTGATTGCCGGCATAGGTAAACTGAAAAAACAACTGGACAACTGAAAAACTGGTTTTTGGAACGATTATGAGCAAAATTAATTCACTCAACAAAACTATTAGAAAATCGCAATTTTCACAAAACCTTTCCTCGTGCTAACTGATAACCGATGACTAAGAGACCAAATTGTGTATTGCCCCATAAATATATTATTATATTTGTATATGAAACCCTCGCACGGGTATCGATTTGGGAATCCAAATTTGAGGAAAAGTGACTAATTAATATGTGACATAACCTAATTTGGTTCTACTACGTAACTTGTTATTTACCTAATTCGAATAAACTTTTTGGTTTGGTTTTTGTCATCGTACCCATTTATACCAAAAGATAAAAATCTTCTTACCGTTCCATCACCGCGAATGTGGCTTCTAAAGTCTTTCCACGAAGTATTTATTCCGCAATCCTTGCCAATTTTGCAATTCCCACACTCACATGTTGGTAACGGATTCGACCATTTTCCACCATCTAAGCAAGTAATTTTCGAAGCCCCCTGTATGATAAAAAGTTGTATATCATGAATAATTTAGCCTTGGTCCGCAAAACTACAAGTCGAAATTGGCCGAAAGCAGTGGTCTTAAGTTTTTTTTTTGCTGCGGCGCATCACGGAGGCCTCATTTTTCTGCGACACATCTTAACTATAGTCTATATCGTTGATACATGGCACGGAAGTTCAACAATCTTGGTGAAGGAAAGTTCTTGAAACAGTTTGCAAGTTTACATACTGGTATATATTATTTCACATTCGTAATTGGCAGCAGCTATTAGTATTGAGAGTGCTCAGGAATGCTCGGTCATATTGTTTTATTACAAGGCCGGCTAAAACTCCTACATCCACACACCAAGAACACTAACACCTACAAAACAATTCATAGGTCCATAACGATCCATAGGTCGTTCCAATAAGTTTTTAATTTGTATATGTTGAAGCACAAAACGTTTGTGGCATCTTTCATGGTAGCCTACACTAGTTTGCCATGACGCATAGTCTGGGTACATCTGGCCTAAAGCATACACATCGCCTGCACGATAAAGGTTTTCACAAAATGGATATAATGTAATTGATTTCTAATTCGAGACTAAATGGGAAACTCCCAATTGGCTCAGAACTTGGCACGAAATAGGAATACGAAAGATACAGAAATACAATAAACAACGTTCTATCGCAATCATTGTTCGATTCCCAGATAAGCTACTTTTTGTGACGAGCCATCTCTGATTCTATAACACATAGCTCATTGTTTCTTATATTGATAGGCACAATGTGTCCAAGAGAGCTATGCTCAAATATATGGACACGTAGCGCCACCCAATGGTAATAATTTTGATAACGTCATAGCGAAAAAATAAATAAAAGCCTTCTGGAGAAAAATTTTATCTTTAACCACTGAAAATTTCAAAGCAATTAGTCCAGTATTCGAAAAGAAAAACGATTTTTTAAAAATGATGGATACAAATAACAATAACAACATAATATTGAAACGATCGTTATGTCCACTAAACGTGCCCAATAATAACTTCTGGTACGGTTGACGTCGGGTTTTCGGTGGTTGAGGATCGAAGAGGTCGCTAGTATAATTTTTCGAAGTCTACCGGGCCCATATTTTATCCAAATGTCTCTGCCTTTTCTTTTTTATTCAAGTATTAGGAGCGAAGTCAATAGTAGCCTACGTGTGTTCCTAGTGCGTAGAACAGTGTACTCGGTGACTTTTTCGAGTATCGTCTTATGTAATGCACAGAAAATACACACCTCTGTCATACGCGGATTTGACAGCGAGAAATATATTATTACATACCGACTTGTGTAAAATTTACCTTTATTTCTCGATTCGGCAAACACTGGACTGTGCATACTGTTCCCGATTTATATGTCTTGTCGGAGCAAGTTACAGAACCGAACTCGATCCCAACCGGTGGATCGCATGCAGGAGTAGTGAGGCCTGTTAATTGAAAACTAAACTTAAATCAGTTCTAGTTAGTAACCCAGGATAGCCCAGGAGTTTTACAGGCGCAAGTGTGTGTACCAATATGGATGGAACAAATTTTGTGTAGATATACACTCAGTTCTTTATTACTAACCTGGAATTTGACTTCTTGATAATAAATCCGTCAATAACGTTTCAGCTGCGTTCAGTTTCTCCGTCACCTCTTTCAGCGAAGTTTCTTGCTTTTGTTTCAATTCGTTCAACTCTTTCTTCATTTCTGTACATTAGGAAAAAAACAAAAATTTACACATTTACATTTTTTCTGTATGAAATTATTAATATCATTGAATTTAAAACTTGAAATTTGAATCTTCAGGGTGTACAACCGTTAATACAGGAGGGCCAGATACAAAAATCTGGGGAACCGCGGGCCGCACCTTTATTTAACATAGGCTTTCTAGTAGAAGCAGGCACAAAAATGTTGGTTATTGATATTATGATTGTTTGCCTCGCACAAGCTAGCTGTTATGGCATTGTAACGTCATGGGCATAGATAATAAATTGGACTCAGGTAGAACCCTGGAATTACTCACACGTACCAGATTAAACTAAGTTCAAAACTCATTTTTCGAGCCGCACAATTTTTCATTGCGGGCCGCAGGTTGAACACCCCAGACTTGACAATTTGGCTCTGCAGGTATCATCAAATTTCATACCCACCACATCACCCAGAGTGTTATAAATTGGGTGGGCAAAGCCGAACCGAAAAGATTCGATGCTTCTGAGAAATGGTAACCATTTACATATCGTTAGATATCAGTGAAAACTTTTAAATGACCCTGATAGCATGGGGCATATGTGTGGTATATAAAAAAAATATGATTTTATTTCAGTACTTGCTCGTAACACAATATCGGATTTGTATTTGACATAATAGAAGAGCAAAACATTTTGTTGACCTTTGGTGTCACTGCGCGATTGAATGCCGCTGCTCGATAACCAACTTTGGTTCTAATGACTTTTCTTACCCCGCGAACTGCCAATTATAATTTATTCGTAGTTTTTGTACAATTTGTGTTCCGGAAATGAAAAATAGACGTGACGTGACAGGTATTATATATATATATATAAATGAACACACCTTGTTTAAATTTGGCCATTTCCATCTCTAAGCCTTTACTCTTTCCAAGTTTTGATTTGCAAGTTATAGGAAATTCATTTCTGTCCATATATCCTTCGATGTCAACTCCATTAAAACCTTTAGGAGTCGGATCGCACTGAGTAATCAAACAGCCTGGTTTAGCAGAACAATGAATGACGGTTTCATCGTCTTGACACATCACAGTAATGAAAAGAAGGGGGAAACAAATAATAAATCTCAGAGAAAACTTCTTCATTTCATCCGATATTATATGAAGCCTATTTTATTGATTCTTAAAAGAGATAAATATATATATATTACAAGTTTTTAATATTTAAAAATATGCTATGAGCAATATTAAATATATATTCTACCATCAAACATCGACAATACCCAATGCCTTTGATAATTGAGCATTGACATGGCCAAATGTAGAGTACATACATATATAATTATATAACATATGAAGCAGTTTTCAAAGATATTGATTTAATTTAATAATTATCTAAAGAATAAGATATGTTTTGTTATTATATTTTACAACTTTCCACTTTGAAAACTAACATTATAACGTCTCTCTTATATATAAATGATCATGTTATGTGATATATGTCACAGCTTCTCCCTCCATCCATGCCCATTTCTCTAAAACTATTAAAGGGTTCGCTATTCTGTGATGCTGATCTGTACCGATAATCGGGTGAAATTCAGTGTTGAAAATAAGCCCCCTTTTCGTATTCCATGACTACATGCCAAACTACGAAAAAATGATATATTATATTCGGTGTCCATGAAGTCTTAAAATTGCAAAGGGAATTTATCGATACCGTATATTGTTTTGGCCCTCACAAGATTCATAAAATGAAGTAAAAATACTTGAACAAGTAGGCTACTGACTAAAAAACAACAAGCCTGATTAAGATATACAGAGAATTAATTTCTTAACAAAAATTGAAAACTGTAAAGGGACTTTATGGACATCCTGTACATATAACTTTTCCCTTTAACCAAACAGCTCAACGCCTAAACAACGAGCTCAGTTGCACAAATACAAGCGGTTATTAACTCTGCATTTTTTAAACAAACAAGTAAAATTATAAATGCCACGACTGCTATGTTATCCGAACAAAAGTGAAAACATCAAGCGTGTGTCTACCAAATAGCAACTAAGCGTATTATTGATTAATTTCTGATGGTTTTTATACTTTTTAAAACAATGCAAAATTGCCTAAAACTTCTGACAAAGTCTCCTTGTTGCCAAAGCTAATTTACCTCCAAATTGAAATAATTCTACTGTTTATGAACTGTTTATGTGACTCGATGAAACTGAGATTCTAATGATTCAGAGTGAATAATCATTCTTGAACAGTCATCGTGTTTGAACTCCCGACTGTTTATGTCGCGCAAAGACAGACTAAAAATTGTGGTAAATTCACATTTGCCTCACGGGAATATATTTCCTTATATTGGTTTGTTTACAGGAATACAAACTGTAATCCTTTACGGGCTTATGATAAATTTTAAGTTATTATACTCATTACTTATATGTTATTTCAGAATATAATCGAAATAACCTATTCTACAATGTTATATTATTTTGTATAATCAACGTCACTTCTTCAAATCGTCTTCAATTTTTCATTACTTGAAAATGGAATGTATATGTTGCCAGAAATTTCACCCAAAAAATTTTGCCTTTTTCCTATTGTTGTTTTGCCTGTTTTTTGGTTGACGGAATACTAAATATCTCTTTCTACCAAATGTCTTCCACGCGACAATCAACCTATTCCAGTATTAAGCTGCGCTTTGTAATAGCCTGAAGGATTTATTCGGAAGTTACCTGTATCCGATTTCTTCGTAACTTCGTAATCATATTACGACACGTGGGGCAAGTGGGACACGACATTTTCGAGACACTGGGCACTGTCCGTGATTTAGTTGCCATTTTTTCCTCTGGTAAAATCAAAATGAAATCCTAATTATTCAAGTATAATTCACATTGTGGTATTTTATTGTAAAGCGTGTACCCTACTGTGCAAAGAACCAGCCTTTTTCACATTGGCGTGATTAAATTATGTCTCAGCAACCGTTAGCCATTTCATCACAGGTCGACGGATATACTTTTTTCGCAATCATTTCCTTAATGAGTTTGGCAGTTGCGTGTTCGCAAGATCCTTCCCCGCTTGAGTATCCTTTGCAGCTATGTCTTGTTCCTGTACCGGTATCAGTGCATTCACATTTCCATTTGAGGCTCCATGAATGAATGTAACCGCTAGTTTTGCAATTCATTTGATGGCCAGCGTAGTTAAACTGCAAATACAAGTCATACAATTAAAGATAAATTTAAATCGATAGATTTTCATATTTATCCCGGGCAGAGAAGAGCCCATAACACGATTCAGTAACGTGGCAAACCACGGACTCTCTCTCCGGTTATCGGAACGATTATGTAGAAAGTTAATTCACTTGCTACGTGTTGGAGATGCTTCGACTTGGATGGTGGATGACACTAGAACCGATCTCAAGTAACGAGAGAAGTCCCAGAATCCACCACCATTAATTATTCTCCACGGGATTTCAACCTCGCAGGATACTCAGAGGTATATTTTTTTTTTTGTAGGAAAAGCACTGTTGTGACACACATACCATAGTCATGCATTCCATCCTATCAAAGTGTATTTATTAATTGGGACCCACCGAGTGTTATTTTACACAAGTTTGACACCCGAACGATACCCGTTCGTGGTTTGTCTTTTTTATTTTGAATATATGTTTGTGTGTCGATGGGCCAACTACCGAGACTGGAAATTGACAGTTATTTAAATAATAATAAGTTATGGATAAAACTGAATGCTGAATCGTCGCAGTAAAACTGAACATTTTTCCGGAATAACTCTTTTAAATTTCTGTCATCGTTGACCATGACCATCTTTTGGTCTGGGTTTCAAAGTCGTACCTGTTTTAGTTTTGATTTTAGTTAGGGCATCATTTCCATTTTAGGTTCGACTGTTAGAACAAAACTATTAGAAAATCGCAATTTTCACAAAAACGGGTTATCGGATAACCGATGACTAAGAGCCCAAATTCTGTATTGCCCCATAAATATATTATATTTGAATATGAAACTCTCGCACGGGTGTCGATTTGGGAATTCAAATTTGTCAGTCAGTCAGTCAGTAGTTTATTTTTCACCAAAATGAAAATGCACTCACAGTGAACATAAACCTAAAAAAAAGTTGAAAATGACATTTCATGGTGAAAGGTAACGCAAAAAACCAAAGTTGGTTATCGAGCAGCGACACCTGTGATAAGAGTCTAACTTTGATACAAGTTTAATAGAAATAAGACGAACAATATATATATATAAATTAATATATCAAATATTAAAGTCCAAAAACCAAATTTGTTACAGAAAAGAGACTCCGGGCACCGTCAAGTACGGGAGGGGTAACCATGGGCAGCGAACAGCATAGCAACGACCAAAGTGAATATCACCTTGGCACAGTGACAGCAGGCTGGCCTGGCTGGGTACAGTCATACTGGAAAAGCCGACGACGTTTGTGTGTGACTAATTAATATGTGACATCACCTAATTTTGTTCTACTACGTAACTCGTTGTTTACCTAATTTTCCTGAACTTTTTAGTTTTTATTCTGCGATACCAATGTCATCGTACCCATCTTTACTAAAATATAAAAGTCTTCTCACCGTCCCATCACCGCGAATGTGGCTTCTAAAGTCTTTCCACGAAGTATTTATTCCGCAATCATCGCCAATTTTGCAATTTCCGCACTCGCATGTTGGTAACAGATTCGACCATTTTCCACCATCTAAGCAAATAATTTTCGTAGCTCCCTGTATGATAAAAGTTGTATATCATTAATAATTTAGTATTGGTCCAGAAATACGAGTCGAAAGTAGCGGTTTTAAACTTCTTTTGATGTGGAACATCAATGAGGTCTAAATTTTTCTGCGACACATCTCAACGATATAGCGTTGACACATGGCAACTATAGCTTGGTAGAGGAAGGTCCTTGAAACAATTTGCGATTAAACATACAGGTATAATATTTTACATTCGTAATTGACAACAGCTATTAATATTGAGAGTGCTCAGAAATGCTTGTGAATATTTTCCTATTACAAGGTTGGCTGAAACTCCTACATCCACACATCTGTTGCTTATACTCGCAAGAACACTAACATAGTTACAAAACGATTCATGTGTCCATAACGATCCACAGGACGCGTCCAATAAGTTATAAGCGTTATTAATACGCTCGTGATTGCCCTGCATGGGTTCGCAGATTGGTGGCTAATTATGCACGAGAGAATTGCTGGACTCCTCGCCGCCGTATTACTTCTGGAACTGTCGACGTCGGGGTTTCACTGCTAGGAGGTCGCTAGTATATTTTTTCGAAGCCTACGGGGCACATATTTAATCCCAAATTTTGCTGCTTTCATTTTTTATTATTATTCAAGTTTTAGGAACGCTCCCTCATGTTCATATGAACCTTTATCTACTGTGAATATTTTCCTTTTTTTTTCTATTTTCTTTTGATAAACGAACTGAATTAAACTGAAAGCTGATAAGACGATGTAATTACACTGCGTACTAGACGACTATCTTCACATATAATTATTCCCGTTGGTTGGAGTCAATGGTACGTGTGTTTCTAGTGCCTGGCACAGTGTATTATGTGATTATGGCGAGTATCGTCTTATTTAAAGAACACTAGATACACATGCCAGGGTACTCCCGAAGTATGTAAACCAAGATGGCGGACACCGGAACGTAGTATGTGTACCAGGTTAGTGTTAGGCCATATTTTAGTTACAAATACTACTGAAGACACTTGGCTAGTCCCCGAACTCGTAATATAACTAAAATAAGGAAAATTGGAATAAAATTATGGCCTAACCCTCACCTGGTAAACATACTGATTGCGGGGTCCGCCATTTTGGTTCAAATAATTCGGGAATAACCTTCTCAGTCATACACGGATTTGACAGCGAGAAATATATTCATACATACTGAGTTGTGTAAAATTTACCTTCATTTCTCGATTCGGCAAACACTGGACTGTGCATACTGTTCCCGATTTATATGTCTTGTCGGAGCAAGTTACAGAACCGAACTCAACCCCACCCGGTGGATCGCATGCAGGAGTAGCGAGGCCTGTTAATTGAAAACTAAACTTCAGTTCTTTTTACCCTGTTTCCCGAGAATAAGACGGGGTGTTATTTCAATTTTCTTCCTAAAAATAACACTAGGGCTTATTTTCGGGGAATGTCTTTTATTTTCATTTATCAAAAACAAAATTACAAAGTAGAGAATTACGAGATTTTTAAATATACAAAATATGGAAACCTATCTATTTACTTATAAATAACGCGTTTTCTTCTCTCACACGTTTTAGATTATTCATTTAAAACGTGTATGACATATTACTTGCTTCGACTAGGTCATATTTTAAGGGGAGGGCCTATATTAATGTCATTTTTTAAAATTCAGGCTAGGTCTTATTTTCGGAGAAACACGGTAGTAACCCGGGACAGTTCAGAAATTTTACAATATATATTCGATTCGTGAGTTGGCTTTTGTTTATGCAAACGACTAAAGGACCAATATAGCCAGCCATACGCCACTTTTATTTTCAAAGTTTAAGGAAATTGATTTTCATTTTACGCGTAAAGTTAGAGTCAAAGAGGGAGTGTCAAAAGTATCCTGGGACAAAGTATTGAGTCCGGACGCGCAGGTTTTGGGAATTAATGGAATAGTCTTATAATAATGTAAGATTATATATATACTATGCTAAATAAGATATCTGAATTGTTCATCGAGAGAAAAATGGAATGGATAAAACGGCTAATTCAGTAACTATCACGACTTTTGTCCATCGGTTTACCATCGAAGTTGCGTATTCAAATATTTACATATTTATCCCGGGGGAGAGGAAGCCGATAAGACTGCTAATCAAGTGGCGAACCGTGGCCTCTCGTCCGGTTACCAGTCCAACACAATGTGTCAAATGACCAAATATGACACAATATTTGTTTATAATTAGGCCACCATGACCAATTCTTTATAATTGCCGGTCACAAAATTCATTGGCCGTGAACTGTTGCCAATATTTCACAAGTTGGTCGCCTAATTAAGCTTGGGAAACGCTATTTGTATTGAGAAGACAGTAAATTGGTGTCAAAGCATAAATAGCGTGAATCAGAAGCTTTATGGGTAATCCCGTAGCGTGAGTACCAGGTTAGTGTTTGGGCATAATTTTATCTCGATTTTTCCTCATTTTATTTCTATTACTGTTCGGAACTGTCTGTGTTAGCCAAGTGAACATACCCCCTGCCCATAGGTCCAGGTCCTTTACACAACGTGATGTAAAGTAGGCGAACAAAATTAATTCTCCATATTGGTACACACGCACTTCTGCATGTAGCACCGAGTTTTCTACAGATATACACGCAGTTATTAATTTATAACCTGGAATTTGACTTCTTGATAATAAATCCGTTATTAACGTCTCAGCTGCGTTCAATTTCTCCGTCATCTCTTTCAGTGATCTTTCCTGCTTTTGTTTCAAATTGGTCAACTCTTTCCGCATTTCTGTAATTGAAAATATTCACGTAATATTCTTGTACAGGAATTTCTAATATTATTGAATTTAGGATTGGATTTAATCGCATTTTGTTAAAATCGCCGATTGTTTTCTTCACGGGCTATTTGGGCCGTGAACACCTTCGCGTCGATATTCATTTTTCCAATATCACAAATTTCCATCAACATATGCATGTCTTATTTTGGTTCTTACACGGAATGGTGAATTTGTTGTGAAAAACCAGTCATTATATTATAATCATCGGCGACGAGATGCTAAAGCTAATAAAGTAGTAAATGATTGAAAAGCGGCATTGTAAACTCCTAAAACAACTAAAACACAATAAGTTCTGTTTTAGGAGACCCGCTCCAAATAAAAATGCTTTTTCTCAGACATTGTAAATTGTAAAATTTGGTTTGCCCACTGCACACAATATGTTGGATTAAAATTATTATCTTTTATCAGGAAATACGAATCGAACCAAGGTATAAACGCGCACATTGCCACACATTTTTATGGCTGCGGCATTTTGAAGTAGCAATGTTTTGTATTTTTAGTCCACGCAACAGCCTGTTACATTGAACACATTAATAAAGCAAGATATTTCAAATTCCCGTATCGGTCGTGGATTGAATACTTTGCGTAATTGCAAATTGTACTTTTTGGGATTGTTTCACACACCTTGGGTTTTTCTTTTAACGGCGACATCTTGAAAATAATCTTCAGTTGCAGTCAGAATAGCTCAAATCCCAAGGTAGTAAAATTCGAATCCAATCTATTCATAATCGGACATCTTATCGCGTGTTTTATTCTACAGATTGTCGAAGTATTTTATAATTAAACTTTTATTTTACTGTAAATCGACGCAAAGGCGAGTTACGATGAACACAATCAAATTAACATAGCAAGACATTTTAAATGCTCGCATCGGCCACGGATTAAATATTTTATCCGCTCGACCCGATTGTTTTCTTTTTGACGATAATGAAAATATAAACTTTACTTAACAGGTATATCATGCACCAACCTCGTTTAAATTTGGCCATTTCTGCCTCTAAGCCTTTACTCTGTCCAAGCTTCGATTTACAAGTTATAGGAAATTCATTTCTGTTCATATATCCTTCGATGTCAACTCCATTCAAACCTTTAGGAGTCGGATCGCACTGAGTAATCAAACAGCCTGGTTTAGAAGAACAATGAATGACGGTTTCATCGTCCTGACATATCACAGGAATGAAAAGAAGGGGGAAACAAATAATAAATCTCAGAGAAAATTTCTTCATTTCATCCGATATTATATGAAGCCTCTTTTATTGAATCTGTATTGTAGTTCCAAGAAATAAAACATTACAATTTTTTGATATTTTAAAACATTTTCTCGCAACACCAAGCAACATGCACGTACAAACGCATCAGTACTCCTATCACTGAGACCTATGAATATACGCTTACAGATTGCATTCAGACGATCACTATTTAATAACCTTTGGTAACACAATCTGAAATAGTGGGTCTCGTACTTTCATGATCGGTGGCTCGCATTCTAAAGACACCCAACACTCTGGTCTTCCTTTGAAATTAAACACTGTATACTGTCTTCGGCGCTCCCGTAGAATGTGCAACAAGATGGCGGATACCTGAACATAGTATGTGTACCATGTTAGGGTTAGGCCATAATTTTATTCCAATTTTCCTTAATTTAGTTCTATTACGAGTTCGGAAACTATCCAAGTGACTCCACCCTCGTAGTATTTGTAGCTGAAATTATGGCCTAATCCTAACCTGATACACATACCACGTTCCGGTGTCCGCCATCGTGGTTCACATACTACGAGAGTACCCTGTCTTCTTCTATCATATACGATCATGGTATATATTTTTCTTATCACCATTCTCCGCCCTCCTTGCCCATTTGGTTGAGAGTACCAATAGGTTAGCTTTTGTGATAGGCTGCCGAATTAGACGGGTATTCGACAAAAGACCGTGTCGCATTTCAATTAATCTGCCTTTTCTGGCGTAACTAATAAAAATAGCATCTCTCGATTACAGGCACTCAGTTGCATAACTGCATTCAGGAGCTCTATTATCAAACCACTTAATGAAACCATCAATATATCGACACGACTATTATTTCATCCGAATACAAGTGACAACTTCAACTTATCGCGTGTCTGACAAATAACTCACTATATTATTGATCAATTTCTAAGGATTTATACGTGCTTATTAAAATATTGCGTAATTATCTAAAACTTTGACAAGTCTGCTTTTTACTATACCTAATTCGCCTCAAAATTAAGGCAATTTTTATATTTTCAAACTGTTTTTGTGACTCAATGAAACTGAGATTGAATGATTCAGAATGAATATTCATTCACAAAACGGTAACCATGGTAAACTTTCGACTGTTTTGGCCGCACTAATAGAGAGAGGTATCTTTAAATTTGCCTTATGGGAAATGATATATGTTATTTCCTTCGTTGAATACAAACTGTAATTCCTGTACGAAGATATGGAAAATTTGTAGTTTTTATTTACTCATATCCTATAATATAGGTACTTATTTTTAATATTAGTCTTCTATTATTTTAGATTATAGTCTGTATAGCCAATTCTATAATGCTCGTCTATTTTATATAGTCAACTTTACCTCTGGGCATTGTGCACCATAGTAAATATGACAGACCTAACCCTCATGTCTTTGCTGAAATCACTGTTTGTTACTTTATTTTTACAAACGAAATAAACCTGAATTTTGCTGAATTGCTGTTCTTGTTGGGGTATTGTTGTCGTGAAATGTCGCTTTTCTTCGTAAGTACTGGGCCAACCGACTTAAGATTTTAAATTTCACGACCTAGAGTTGACTTTCACTCGGCAATCAACATATCTCAATCTCAGTACGAAGCTACATCTTGCAATAGCCTGAAGGATATATTTGAAAGTTTCCTGTATCCGATTACATTAAACTTCGTGGTTAGATTAAGGTTATTTATAAAGGTTGAAGCCGGCTGTTCATAATGTAGAAAGGAATGGTCAAATCATAAAAAAAACATTTGCGCCTGAAAAATCAAATTCTTATACTGTAAAGGCAATTAATCACGTGAAAAATGTATTTGCGACATTCCTCAATCGATTTTATTCGTAATCATACTAATGTATCATCCATAATTTCCCTTATTAGCCAACTATTTACTTCTGTGTTTAGCAAATTATTTTTCGTTTGTAACTTCGTTTTGGTTATTTAGCAATCCTATGCTTTGTATTGAGTAATCCACTCTCCAGTTGTGAATGCTTTTAAATCTTCTTTATATATATTAAATGTTGTAACTGATAAACATTTATTTTATGATGTTTTAATTTACGTAAATTGAAATTATTAGGACTCTTGTAAACATGTCCCCAAAATTCAACTTGAGTAATTCCAAAACTCCTTCAATTTTACTCGATAAAGAAAATAAATAAATATATTTTTCGAAAAGTAATGTTATAATTAGAGCGGGGAATGGTTAACCGGTTAACCGATTTCAGATGGTTAACGGTTATGATTTATTTTGACATGTAACTGACATCTCAGGTACAAATCATCTTTATACCGTACAATTTCGTTAAATATGATTACGTCATCTCAAATTTATCTCTTGCGGCGTTTAATTCAAAAAAATACTACTAACTGTGTGGGTAAGGACTCAATGAATGTAAAAAATAATGGAAGTACCCAGGTTGCTGATAATGAAAATTTACAATGATAAATTCAGAATCAGTTTTTGGTCGATTTCGAAATATATTGTTCACGATTTCATTGCAAAATCGGATATTCAATGTCATACAACAAGTGCGCACTTGATCACGTTTTTTTTTATGAAATATATCTCGAAATAGAATTTGCACATCAAACACTGAAAATTTGTCACATAAATGACGTTTAACAACGGAATCGGGTTTTCTTAAATATTTCCACATGCCCGAACCACGCTGCCTATCTATTGCAGCAGAGGAATCATGAAACTATCTCAATTCGTAAATAATTTTGAGCGATACCGGGATAAAAACACGCGAAATTGCGTTATAACCAATGTTACGTAACAAGCTGAAATTATAATTATTACGTCAAACGTCACGCGGCGGTTAACCGGTTAATTTTAATCGGTTAACTTTAAATTGTTTTCCCTGAAATTCCCAGCCCTAGTTATAATAGTAAATTCTATAATAATTCATCAAATGAATAAGGAGCGATTGTGGTTGGGGTTGACTTTAATGGGCGAAGGTTCCTATCGCCGCTCCCTACAGTTTATATAGGGATATATATATATATAAAGTGTTGGTTAGGCTACTTTATTCTAGTTGAAATGATGACTGTATTTTGATTGGCTAATAAATCCCTTTTTCTCTCTCTTTTTCTTACTCGTTTTCGTGAAGATTCGCCGTCGATAATTTTTTTGCTGAGGAGCATTGAGTTATCCGATTCAGTTATCATTTTCTGTCGTCGGGATTAGCTCACATTTTTGTTCGTCCGACCGGACGATTCAAATAAAACATATTCATTCAGAAAATTTAGGAATAATAGTTTTGAAGTTTACGGTATAAATAGAAATACCACCCTCTTTTTGTCTCTTCAGAAGTCTCGCTTATTTCTGTATATTGTGTAACGGTGATTTCATGAATAGATCAAAATACCAGCAACTCGTATAATGAGGATCGCGAGATGGCAGTGATGAGTTGGAGTACAACAAAACATGACTGTTGCCACAAAATTAGCGTTTATCCATGGGTATATATTTTAAAATTAGTAAGTTTTTAGGCATTTCGATAAATTTCACTTTCAACATATCTAATAATTATGCAAATTGTGTATTTATTATGTGTCAATTAAACATGAAATATTTAAGAAATCATTTGTATTGTGTTAGCTAACTTGTTAAATAATCCCCCTTCTTATATTACGATATCTTTGGAACTGTTATGTGTAATCCATCAAATAATTGTTGTAATTAATTGAAGTAAAAATCTATACGCGGCCTTTTTTTTCTAATGATCTGAATGTCTTGTCTTAATAGGAATTTTTCTTTTTTTATGAATCGGTCGACATAGTTGACCTTGCAGTCTTGCGGCCCCCTCCCGATTATATTCTATGATTTATTTATTTTTACAGTTATTGAAATTTTACATTTTTTTGATATATTAGGAAAATAAATCATTTTCTCTCTCTCATTTCTGTTTTAGTGAAAATCTAGCATCACTAAAAAATCGTCAGCAAGAGAACTCGATGACATCTGACTGGTGACGCAACGACTTGTTTCTCGTCTGGTACGGCAGTCGCTTCCTGACTTTCAGGAGAGGTGTTTATCGTTCGTCTAATTCCGCGACGTTGTTTGTAATTCTTTATTTATTATTAACTAGTTTTAAAATAACTATATTAAAATGTCAGAACCTTTGACACTCGAGCAAGACATTACAAGGGCGATTGAATTGATCGATAATTTACAAAGTCGAGGGCAGGTTCCATCGGATAAAATCCTAGCGTTGAAAGCCGTACTGCAAAGTGACTTTTTACACGCTGTTCGTGAAGTCTATGAGCATGTTTATGAAACTGTGGACATTACCGGGAATCCTGAAATAGCTGCAAATGCCACTGCTAAGGCCACAGTTGCTGCTTTTGCAGCCAGCGAAGGACATGCCCACCCGAGAGTTGTAGAATTACCTAAAACAGAGGAAGGACTTGGATTTAATGTGATGGGAGGTAAAGAACAGAACTCTCCAATTTATATTTCTCGTATTATACCCAATGGGGTAGCAGATCGCCATGGTGGCTTAAAACGTGGCGATCAACTTTTATCAGTCAATGGAGAGTCCGTTGAAGACGAATGCCATGAGAAAGCGGTTGACCTTCTCAAAGCTGCCATCGGAAATGTTAAATTAGTTGTTCGATATACTCCTCATGTTCTAGAAGAGATGGAGCAACGATTCGAGCGACTTCGTCTATCCAGAAGGCAACAGCATACCTCAAACTCTGGCTAATTTAATCCAGTTAGTTGTCCAAAATATTTTAAGCTGCTAATGTTTTTATTGATGTTTTCTTGATTTTGATGACATGATTTTCTATTTGATTATTTGTTATGATATTGTTGATGAGGGTATGGTCTATTTAGCTGTATTTTACACCTCAAAATGCAGAAATTGAAAGATTATGGTTATTCCAAATAGTGTTGCTTCTCACATATGGAATATTCGAAAGCCTGTGTATTCAAAATAATTTTTTTTCTGATATATGCTCAATTTTGCTCAGAAACTTAGAATGGAGAATCCAAAATATTACATTGAATTTGAATTTTTCTTCAAACTTTGTTGTACTGAATATGTTTGAAAATTTTTAATTTGATTCGATATAATCCACTTTGGTACGATTTGGGCTGCTTGGACCACATCAATATGGTATGATTGAAAGAAATTGTGAGGAATTTCTAATGCTCTAAAGCTAGTTATCATTTTCTTGAATAGCGTTTAGTTAGACCGTACCAAAGAATTCATACCCACTGAAATTAAGAATTTGCTGAGTAAAACCTATTGATCAACTAATAGGGGTAAAGTCAACTTTTAATAAATGCACCAATGCCTTTGTTACTTAAGTATAAGTACCTACCGATAAGTAACAACTGCATTGGTTCATTTAGTATCAATTGTCAATGGGGGAAACAGTTCTAAATAATCCTATTCATATTGAGAAATCATACTTCATTGATTACCAAGGAAGGAGGGTATGGTTTACTATGGTTTACCCATTTAGACACTTTATTTATGCTTTTTTTATTCTCTGCACATTGCGAGAAATTTACTAAAATATAAAGGTGTGTAGTGAGAAGATCTGACCATAAATCAAATTCCTTTATGAAACGATCTGTGTCACAAAGTGCTGCTTTTATATTATTTTATGCATTTATGTTGCCTGTTGGACAAATCATTCCAAATTACAAGGGATCAATAACATCAGACAAGCTACTAATCATGTTTAATTCATAGTGTTAACCTTTTTGTTTAATATTTCATTTTTTACCTGTATGGAAATCTATTAATAATGGCAGAATATTCTAACCTTGAGCATACAATATTGATGCCGCTAGTCAAAATTCTTGCTCCTCTGGTCAGAGTGACTTCAATTTGTTTGTATATCAGAGCAATCTGTAATACTGACTTCATATTTACTAACCTCAAACATTTCTTGTGAAATTTTGACGCTCAAGAAAAATATTTCAAACAACTGTGCGACCCAATCAAGTTTATACTATTTTCATTTGTCTAATTCTTCTACCAAGTAAATTTCGAACAAACATTTTATTGTGGCATTCTTGATAATGTCCTTGGCCTTTCTTACAAGAGTTGTAGCTATTTCTTGTGGCAATTACATCCACAGTTACAAGTGCAAACTTGGCCAATTATGTCCTTTTTAGCTCTTAGTTTTCTATAAAAAATTTACTAGGTGCTTTCTTGACTTCATTTCTATATCGTAGGTGCGATTACTCAATTATACCAATTTTACATTTTAAAATATTTAGAAATATTTCTTTTTCCTGTTTTTTTGTTGTCTATCAACTAATGTTTTTGAGCCTGCTGTTTAGGATTGAAATTCAAAATTTCTAAATCTAATGATTTCATCCCATCGGAAAAATTCTACTCAAATTCACATAATGATGTCTAGAAGTTCTTTCATATGTTCAAATACACATACAAGTGCTGTGCCATGCCAAGGCTAGTTTTTTTAATGAGGACAATATTCAACAAAATACTAACTTAAAAGTTTTTTTTTTGCAATTTCATAGAATAATTATTGATAAATGTCTAAAATCAAAGTTTCAATAATTTCAATTAATATTGTTTCATGTTTTTATTTTAGATAAAAAAAAATAATCTTATCTTTGTTGGAAGATAATTTAATGCTAGGTGATTATCGTTGTGAAATGCAGATCGACCTCTCGTCAATTCAGCGTCATGAAAAAGAAAAGAAAAAGGAAAAGTTCGGGTCTAACAGCGCACCCCAGCCTCGGCAGTGCTCCTGACGTCCCTAATAAAGAGAACTATACCACAGCGTCGTTCGCTGATGAGCTATTCGGAGCCGATAAGCTTGACCCTGATAATTTTATCTTAAAATCATTTGAGATTAAAGTAACCGAGAATATAACTGTTAAATGGGATACTGTTATCTTCAACCGTCAAATGTTTGTCTTAGTTCCGACCACTCTGTCACAAAGTGGCAGTAGAGATAGCTTCGTTGCACTGCTTGAAATCGCAGAAGAAGAATTGGATTGCGAAGCTGTTATATGTTGTGTTCAGAATATAAGCTCAGAAAAGTCAACTCAAATACGTACTTTCATGTACATGGGATTTCAGGCTATTCCGTCCACGAGCCCTCTGCTTTCTATTTTGTCTCCTGGGTCGAAGAAATACTTTTTTCTCGGTAACGAACTTTGAATCAAAACATTTAAACTTGATACATCTGATTGTATAATATATTTGTGGTGAATTAAATTAATCATTTTACTTCAAAATTTTACTCATCGGTGGTTTGACGTCTTTATTTATATTTATCAACCTTTCAAGTTATCCGCACCATTGACTCAATTAAACTTCTAATTAGGCAATTAGACTTCAATTTTGACAGAATTTTATTGCTTGAATTTACATGTATAAATTCTGACCCTTCCATATACAATAAAATAAAGAATAAATGCCTCCTTCCGCCGATGTCCAATAAATATCTGTTGTACATATTTGTGAGTGTGCTGTATTTAAATGCAAAAAGTTGAACAATGCTACTTTACTTTATTCTGAAATATGTGTTAGCTAGATGTGTATTTATGTGGTGAACTTGGAATGGTGATAATCCGCCTAGTGGGAGAAATATTTTCGGATCAAATTACAATCGTTTTACACTCTTAGATTCATGACAGCGATTCGGTCGAGTTTTAAATATGCTTTATTACAGCAAGACATGACTTTCGATAATTTACTTGACTTTTTTGTAAATCATAAAAGTAGTCATTTTACCATGCAAGCGTGATGAAAAAATATTATTTTGTAGTTACAGGAGTGTTGAAAAATTTGGTTTTTACAAGATTTGAATTCGTTCATTTTAGTCTGTATCAAGTTGGGTTTTTTCGATTGGAATGTTTAGAGTTGTTTATGGTTAGGTAAAGGAATTCACTTTCATGTAACTTTTCTGATTTAATATGGAATATTAAATAATTAAATTTGCTTTTTTGAGGTTACTGTTAGCCCGTGATATTGGGTATTAGTAGGACCATGAAGTGATGATTTGAATTTTCGAATTTCGAACTTTGCTACTCTTTGTACCCAAGTGAGGAATAATAGCTGGTAGATCTTGAGTTTTCGTTAGTATTTTGGATATTTAAACTTTGACCATTGGTAATTTAGATGTGGTACTCAAAAAGCTAGCCATAGATCGTTTGAACCTTTCTTATGAATTTTGGCTTCTTTGGACAATTTAGACGTCTAAACCAGCGTTTGAATTTTTTGAACCGCTTACTATACATACACTTGGGTGATTTAATTAATGGTTTAACCTAATGCATTTGTGATATTGTGAAAGCTGGAGTTAAAGTGTTAACTATCAGAAAATTCTAGAACATTGAAATTGTCGAGATGTTTGTAATTCTTTCAAATGGATATTCGTTTGTGTGCCATGGTATATTATTGCTTCTATATCAAGTTTTGTACAGTATAGTACCACACTTTTATGTTACATTGATATTTCATAGATAAAGTAAACCAAGCTTATTGATGCAGTCAATGTGACTGAAAACTGGTGAAATGTCATTATTTTTGCATTTGATTTTTTCTCTTCATCATTTAGTTATTTTTTGATAAAGATAATCCTTTATGAATATGGCATATAAGTTGCCATCCGAATAGTTTGTTATCCTGGGAAGTCTTTGTTGAGATTTATTCTATTTCAGATATTCTTTAAGGCGTTCAATGCACAGCAAAATTATGATATATAAGGTGTTCATAAAGTCTTAAACACTTTTAAAATTGCAAATGATTTGGCCCTCACAGATGTATTGAATGAAGTAAAAAATACTTGAACAATTACTGATTGAAACAAACCTGGTTAGGATATATTGAGAACGGACTCCATAACGAAATTAAAAATGTAAAGGGACTTTGTGGACACATTGTATGTCGAGATTTTGCTGTCAACTGTTGCCTTTTAAAGAGCTGGTATTTTGATTGATTGATTATTAGAAATTGATTATATTCTGATTGAATTACATTAAAAGTATGATTATTAGCTCGTATGTGACAACTGACAATACAACATTGTATATTGGTATTGCTTTCAATGCTTTGCTGTTAATACTGCGATTTTCATCTTAATTGCCTCATGTACTTACCGTATTCATGTTAACTGTTCTGTGTCATAATAAATGTATATCTAGGTATAGTATTAGGTTCTTTTGTTCAATAATATGACGGAATTAGGTAGAGAGATGCAGTAGTTTTGGGAAGATAATTAATTTGAAATTAATTTTTGAGGATATAAAATGGTTGTGATGGAAAACGGAATTGATCGAGTTTTCTCTTTCCCATGCGGAATTAAATATATCGGAAACGATGTTGGAAAAAATTCTGCAAAATTTGAAGAAAGTAGAACTGGGGTCCTGCTATTTTCAACTTTTCAAAACAGACCTTTGTGTTATGTGTTAAGTACATTTACCCCAAATCCAACAGCTATAAAAAAGGGCAAATGGTTGACTTTCAAAAACAGTAGTAAATACTCTATCAGCGTGGTTTTAAAAGTTTCAAAAAAATATCAAACTGTTTTTGGATCTCCAGTTATCGCTTGGGAGTGCAAAGATTTTGAACAGCAACAGAAAGCAATTTTTAAGCCAAAACTGGATTGGAATATGTCTTCAAATGGCTCAGATAAAGTCGAAAATGAGCCAACAATTTTGTCTTGGTTTATTCTGTACCAGTTAGATGCCAATGAAATGTCAAAGTTGGATTTTGACAAGTTGAGATGTCAAGCGAGTTCATTATGTACCGACTTCCATATTAGGTAGGTGTTATGTGACAAGTTTTATTTATTTTTGGGATGTGTGAATTGAACTGTGTGTTTGGTGATAAATTGACGCAGATTGGAACAAATAATAGTCACATGTGATGTATAGTATATTATGTAATATTGTATTTCCTATGTTTTTATACATGTGAAGATTCTTATTTTTAAGTTATTCGAGAGTCTTGCTTGAACTAGGTTAGATTTTTCGGACATACATATTTCAACTACAGCAAAAAAGTTATCTTCACTTTTGTCAAAGCATCCTTCCATTATATGCACAAAATAATAGAAGAAGGATAATTAGTTAGTCCCACAGAAGCCCAATCTTATATGCATTTACAATTTTTGTGTGTTATTAGTTGAAAATATCAAACTTTTTTACTCATTTTGGCTCCAATCTAAATCCACCTAAAATACAATATTTGGTTTTTAAAATCGTAAATTATAAACTTCTATGACTGAGTAGCATTCAAATTTGAGGAAGAGGAATTCGATCAATAGGTTATTGATTATTGTGCCGTGTTTAATCAATATTCCATCATAATACGCTTAATACATCGATCAATAATCTCTCGAAGTCTATATTTTTCATCAGTGTTATACATCATGTGTATACTGGAATGCATGTTAAATCAAATTAAGGATTGACAATAATTCTACGTTGTTTGATTGCGTACAAGCCATTATTGACCCACGCCTGAATAATTGATATGAGGGTAAAATGAACTCAGTCGTAGCGTTGCGTATATGTATTTGAATTGAGCGAAATTTCGTGACCTGAACAGCGAATTTGATTTTTTTTATTTAACCTTTGGAATTATTTTTTTATTTATTATGAATGTTATGTCTTGTGATTTTAAATTTCTCATCAAATTTTATATTATTGAATACCGTATTTTGATAGTATGCTACTCTATCCTAATGTATAGTACGTGGGGCTATATTGTACATTTTAATCAATTTAAGCTAAATCTAGCATATATACATAATGAGCTAAATTAAAATAAATAAATTCAGCGTCATTAGCAGAATTTCTCATCTGTTCAGTGGAATACCAAAATTAATTTGATTATTTTTTAACGACTCTCTACATCTTTTCAGAACAGGCCAACCAATTGAAACAAGAAGTTATCCATTTGGACCTGATATCATGGAGATTTTTACAAGTGCTGTGAGCACTGGTATCATAAGTAATGTGTCATTGGACAAATCATTGTTTCTTATTGATGCAAGATGTCTACCTGGTAAGATATTATTAGAAGTAAACTTGTATTTGTCAGGTATAACTTGAAATATATTTACAATTATAGAAGTTTATGAACCCCCTATGGCAGAGGTCCGTAATTAAACCCTAAAGTCAGGTCATTGGTCATCCTAGTCGAGTCAATCACTCAGTCAAGTCTCAAAGTTTTTATTCAGTTGACTCGAGTCACTTTGTTAAATGGTAACTCAAGTTGAGTCACTGACTCGACCCCCACCCCTGAACAAAAGCATACTGGATTCTGCTTATATTCATGCATACATCTGCAATCATACCACACATGATGATGTATATTTATCTTTTTAAATGAAATCAGGTTCAGAAGGAGGTTCTGTTATAACATTGGTTTCACACAAACTCGTTGGAATAATAGTTGCACCACTGTGCTGGAAAAATCAGGAATTAGTTGGATTTTCAGTTTGTTGCTCAGTTCAAAGTATTTTTTCATCTTTACAAAATGTTTTACAATCAAACCCAATAAATGATGATGTCAGAATATTGGTGATATCATGTTTAAAAGGTAGGTTGGATGAATGGATGTGGAAACACATGGTAAAAATACATTGCAGTAACGTGTAGTAATTCGCTCTTTTGCCCCTTTGCTTTTCATTATTGTCACATTTTTCGGGGCTCCTGAAGTATGCGAACCAAGATGGCGGACATCGGAATGTAATATGTGTACTTGGTTAGGGTTAGGCCATAATTTTAGGTACAAATACTACGAGAGGCACTTGGCTAGTCTTCGAACTCATAGTAGGACCAAAATAAGGGAAATTGGAATTAAATTATGGCCTAACCCTAACCTGTTACCCATGCTACGTTTCGTTGTTCGCCATCTTGGTTCGCATACTTCAGGAGCACCCATTTTCCTTTATCACGATTATTTATGATATGTGATTGAATAATAGAGTTTTTAAAAATCTTTGATAGTGTTTTTTCTCTAACATTTAACTTTTCACGCTTGTTGTTAATTTCAAAAAATTTTAAAATAATCACAAGAATCCAAAACCATCAAAAAGTGATATTATAAGTGTTTTTCCAGTTTTAGCAGTTACATTAGTATTTGCTTGTACAGTGTTGTAATAATTTTTTGATATTATATACCGTACAATGATATCATAATAGCGTGATTGGAATCGTGTGAATTGTCATGTCAGCTCTGTTTATTCTGCCTTCTGACGAAGATTTGACTACCTTGTTGACTGCCTGGTGAACCCATGTTTAAGTCAACACGAGTTGTACTTATATATAAGGTCATGATATATGAATAGTGTTGTTGGAAATATTCTAATGTAATTGTATATGTCAGCACATTCTAAAATACTAGTACTTTGATAATTTGGTAATGTTTAGGGGTAATTTTGAAATTGAAATATTTTTTAATAGTAAAATTTAGTTTTGAATTTCAAATTATTACCTTAGGTTTCATAACTTAATAAAGTTCCAGATAACTTTCCACCAATTCCACGGTAAATAGATTTTTTAAAAGAATTTGGTTAGAGCAAGTTTATGCGCACTCACGCAAAAGTAAACGACACCTACCTACTCAGAGTTTAGGGTTGACCGCTAAAATGCGAAGAGCAACTGAGACTATATAACATTCTGGTGTTAGCCAAGTGAATATACCCCCTGCCCATCGGTTTCAGTCCCTTTACACAACTTAATGTAAAGTAGACGAACCAAATTAGTTACCTCCCTATTGGTACACGCACTTCTGGAGCGCCCCAGTAAATGCTGATAGACACATGAAGTGGTCAAACCACCATTAACCTCCTATTATTTGGTGTAAAAAGTACGGTACTCTAAATACTTGAACAGATATAAAATGTCGAAATTTATTCAATTCAGTTTATTCACTTTTCTAGATTTGAGAGTGTTTTTCAGAATTCATTTTGACAATTTAGTTACTTATGGCCACGCATCTTACTGTTAAGTCATGGTGTAAACAAACGGAATTCTCATTTTAAAATCAATTTTTATAACAAATGAAACCATATTCCATTGTCCAGTGCAAACTAATTGATTCTTTTAAATATTTCTAAGATGCAATATAATTTTCAGCTTTTAAAGACAATCAATTACTACCCTCAAAAAATAAAGGACCCACTGTTGTGAGAATAGATGTTGCTGGCATTTGGGGTTCAGGGGTCGTTGTTGCGGCAACAAAAAAAAAAAATTTATGTGAAGTAACTATTGTTACTTGTCGACATGTGGTTGAAAATGCGATAGGAAGAAATCATGTCAAAATTTCTGTGATATTTGAAAATGGGAAGAGGTAAGTTATTTAGACATAAAAATTAATATTTATATTAAAATATTCTAATCAGCTTTCTATATGACAAAGTGAGGTCAAGATAGATGACAACGCAAGAATACAATTTTGTTTTGTTATGTGTAAAGAACTCCCGACTCATCTTTTAAATATATGCCATAGTTTCATAATAGCCAAGTTGATTTAATGATAATGAACCAAATCCAAACAAAAAATTATTCTGTGTTCTAGTTTTTCTTCAAAATCAAAATTAACAAAACAAAATAGAAAAAGGGCCACTCTGAAAACCATTATCTCTTTTATCAATATTTTTATATCATTTAAATTCATTTATTTTCATGTACCGATAACTGTTTTAATCAAAACTTATTTCTAAATAATGATATCAAACTGTAAAATAAACAACAAAATATTATGAATCCTTGTGTCATAACCTTCAACCTTCCATATTATATAATATTTGTCGATGAAATGATATTTAAATTGATGAAGTGGAAAATCCTCCTACCTGTACATTATCTAATTTTTAATTAAGGGAATTCCCCCTATTTAATTTTATTATGAAGGGCTTCATTAATTTGCTCCTATCAGGGCAAAGCGGTCTTGATATGGAAAATAAATATGTCTTGGTCGAAGTGAAAAATGTATAAAATTTTACAAGTGTAGAAATTGTATCAATTTTCCATGGAAAAGAACTTTCGTTTTTGTCTGCATTTGCTAGATTTTGGTGATTTTGCTTTTTGGCATTGCTAGATTAGAGTTGATTTCTTATCTTGGGCCTAATTTTCACAAAATTTATGTTGATATCTTTATAATTTGTATGACATGCACAAGACAGTTAAGTCTTCTGTTAGCGGCATAAATTTTGCTTCATGATAAATAATTTGCCACAACTGCCTTGGTAAAATGAAACCAAATTTGAAATAAAAGGATTTGGCAGAAAGGTTACTCAACTAAACTAAAATTATTCAAGCGACCAAATTGCACGGGCGGGTGCAAATTAAGTGCAGTGAAGCGGTAACAAATCCCTAGATGTGTCGAAATTGCTCGGCAATTTTTTAAATCTACAAAATAAATCGAAAATATGTTAATGCATAATCCTGTAATCATAAATGGCCAGAAAATAATAGGAAAAATATGTAAGTGATGCTATTTTCAATAATATCAGCGGTTGTATTAATATCTGCTTCATTTAACCTAGTAATTTTTCAAATATCTCTATATACGGTAATATCCAAGCCAAGGTATCTATCAACTTACAAAACAATATCACACTAAATTATTCATCAAATTTAGTGTTCTGGAGAAATATTGAAATTGCCTGATTTTTGGCTTACCTAACTTAATAACGACGTGAGTTATCGCTCTAATAAGAAGATTCAATTTTCTAAAAATTAAAATATTCAATATACAGTTGATTATTTTTACTGTGGAAAACCAAAATTGACAATTTAATTGACTCAAGAAAATATAATTGAATAATTCCATATTGACTCTGGAATTCAATTTGGCAAAAATAAAGTGTAGGACACTTTGCACAAAATGTTATGACTTCTTTAGATTATGTTCCAAATGACCTGGGCTGCACTTTTATGGGGTACTATCATGTAATACGCGTACTTGCATCATCTATGAATGTTTTTCATTTGCTACGGTCATACTTGACTTATATTTTTGTTGTTTCAGTTATATTGGGAAACTCCTGTTTGCATCTGATGAAGCCTCAGCTTATGATTTAGCAATTTTAAATGTTGAAATTGATAGAAGTAGCACTGAGAATTTATGTTTGAAGCAGATGCATGAATATGAATTGGCAAATGGAAGACAGATATTCATGATACCATATTCGAAGCATTTTTCTAAGGTTTGTGTCTTTTTAATGTTGTCAATACAAGGCTTTCAAGACAAAAGGATAAATTTCATAAAAAAAGTATTTGATAACATTAAAAAGAAATGGGTGCCCTCAAGCAAGTATTTCGATAAAATGTTAGTTCAAAAATTTAAAGAGTTTCAAAATAAAAAATTATTTTTTCATTTCGTCAAAACCGTTTTTTCAAGTTTGGTGATTTAGAGTTGAATTGGGCCTATAGTTATTTGAATATATTAGGGCCAAAGCTAGATTTTTGTAAATTATGTGAAAAACAACACAAACTTCTGTTTGTGTGCCAAACAATAGTGAAAAATATAAATTAGCTGAAATATTGACATCTTTAGATATCTTTACACTTATCAAATTTTTCATACATATTCCATATTCAAAAATATTTTTCATAATGTATTCAATATAGTTAATAATTGTTATTCAGTTTTGGCCTTATTTTAGTCCAGTTATGCTCAACTAATCAGTTTAAAAAATGTCGAAAACAAATCAATATTGTGAATGAAACTGCCATGAATAAATGATGCGATTGCTAATGAAGCTTATCCACCTTGATTGACAGTTAATTAATTTTCCAAGATTTAGACAGTTAGTGCTTTTATGCCATAGCTAATGCATGTTCTTTTCAAGGATCGTTAATTAGAAACGTGACTTTGGTTGAAGCTTTTTTGTAATTGCTCATGTCATGTTTAACGTGACAGCATAGCACGCATGACACAGATTTAATTAAGACATGAAAAATTGACTTTTTGGTCTCGAGTTTTGTTAAGTTACCAAGTGACAATAAAGAATAATTTACTTAAAAATAGAAAAAAGAGAGGTTATACAGGTTGACCAAAATAACAGAACTGAAAACATTTGGAATATATTCTTGAGACAACATAACTTTTGTGCAAAAGTCGTAGATTACTGAAACTCTTAGTTACAATCATACACAAACAGAAGTTGAAGTTTCGAATAAATTTTCTTCATTTTTGTACAAGTAATAACGAAATTAAGGGGTTCTTCTTTTGTGGGACGCTCTGTAATTCTTGTTATATGTGAAATTTAACTGATATAAGCATGTATGTTACTGTGCGAAATAGATTTATGCATAGTGTATAACAAAATATCTGACTTTAAGCTAACCACATATTTGAAAATTTGGATTACAATATCACACCAATGACATTCTACTATTAATTTCCATTGTGAGTCACAAAGCTGCATAACTGAACAATGGTTCATACCACGAGCACAGTTTTCGTTTCCTTGTTGCTAAGTTACATTTAAAACATACCGTGACACGTAAGTGGCAATCTAACATGCAGAATTAGCATACGACTTCTTGGTGTGACGTTGTATGATGTAATAATATGATTCAAAATGGCCTCAGGGCTTGTACAAATTGATGGGTTCATTCATTCGATTGCACTCTGTATTTATTTATCACCTTTTGGTGCAATTAGGCGATATGTGTCTATGACTAAGGGCTTGACTTGACAAATGGTGCAACATGCTAAGCATTGGGAACATGCTCATTTATAGGGTAATCCCGAGTATGTTTACCAGGTTTGGGTTAGGCCATAATTTTATTCCGATTTTTCGTTTTTAGTTCTATTACGAGTTCGGGGATTGTTTGTGTTAGCCAATTGAATATACCCCCTGCCCATAGGTTTCAGTCCCATTACACAACTTGATGTAAAGTAGGCGAACAAAATTAGTTACCTCCATATTGGTACACACACTTTTAGAGTGCCGGACTCTGTTGGTTCGTATAACCGCTGCTTATTTACTGCTCCCCTTCGCCATCAGGCTTGTTTATATGACGCTTTCACCTCTTCATTCCATACGAAGCCTTTTATAGGCATTTACTGATATGTAAAAAGCGAATCGCCATTGCAAACTCAATTCAATATATGCTTGGAAAGGTGGTGCGTATGAAGTTTTAACTGAAGATTCTGACCCAAGTTGCCAACATAGTTAAACACTTCACCGTGGTCATAACCTGACCCTCTAAGCCATTTAGTGTGGCTCTTGTCATCACTCAGATTTTTCCCTGTCAAGCATTAAATCTTAATATGTCAGTTATGTTCAAAAAGGCGCTCACATGGATGAAAATACATAATGTTTTTTGCTCTTGCTGCTGCATTAAATGTTTCGCCTTGTATCCAGTGCCTGTATTATGGTAATGCTGAGCGATAGCTGCATTCTCCTATCTTGCCTTTCCCGCTAAATTTTTCTCACACGTTTAGTGACTAGTTCGATTTTTATAAGCAGGAATTGCCAGGAAATTTAATTGTTTATCCTTATTATTTTCAGGGTTCACCCATTCACGTAAAAGGTTATCCACTGTTTGACGTAGATATTGATCTTGGAGCCACTGTATGTTCTGGTGTGTTGTCGAACATTTCATATAATAATGCTGATGCTCCTATACTTCTGCATTCTACATGTCTGGTACACAGAGGTTCTAGTGGTGGAGGACTGATTTGTTCTGTAACCGGTGAATTGCAGGGTAAGTCGACTATTATTATAATTTTTTATGCTTGCTGCTTGGAATTTATCGGCTAGTATAAGTTGAAATGAATTTACCGTAGTTTTATCACTCAAAATGCGGGCTAATTTGGCAATTTGAAGTTTCAGGACCCCAATGAACATTCCTGGCCCATGATTATTGTTTCTCTGTACAAAAATAATTGTCACAACAACCAATACACCTGTGGTCTTCTCGGGAGTCCACGGCATTGGGTTGGGAAACACTGAATTGTAGATAAACGATATATTTTTTTTTCTTTTGATTGGGTTTTGTGAAAAATGTTCAGTTCTTGAATTGCTCAAGAGCTCACCCAAGATGCAACTGATTTTTTTTTATAAATCATGACATGAGTGAATAACTGAATTTGAGTTTAGTGTGGTTTTTGAATCGGGCAGTTAGTGCATCGTGAGGACACAAACTGCCACTGAACCTTTTCTTACCCTGCTCAGTGGGAGTTAATCATGGGTGAGAGGATTGCTTCTTAACTCCTCGACGTCACACGATAGGGTATTAGTTCATGTCAGGGGCATAGCCAGGGGGGTTGAGAGTTGGAACACCCCTATTTTGATGTGTAAAAAAAATCTTTTATTTAATTTTTTAGTAACACAGTAACCAAGTCTATTATTGTAGCTGGCACACTCAGAGAGGTAATAGCCCACCCTCGGTTCTGTCCGATGAAATTATTTGTATATTCTACATTTCAGGCATTGTTGTCAACCATGTAAAAGACGAGAACTGCAATGTTTCATACCCAGATGTTAACTTCAGTATTCCATGCAATGTCTTCATGCCTGTTGTTCTCGACTATCTTCTATCTCAAGGAAGAGATTTGAATAGTTTAAATTGCTATGATAATGATATCGTACGGGCCTGGAATATGGAACCTTCACATTTGGATGATCGAGAACCTAAAATTAAAAGCAAATTGTGATTTGGAATCTTCAAAATGCTCTATTTTAATAAATTCATCATATTATATTAGCCAAAATATATGATAATTGATTATGAAATCGCAATGAAATATTTTGTCCGCAGTTGATAGTTGTAGGTCCGTCAAAGTAGTGAAAATGATAAGTAAAATTACATCTGACATAAGTCTCAAAATGATCAATCAATCATTTTATTTCGGTTCTCTGACATAAACAACACAAAAAGTAAACAGACAAACAAAACGCAAAGATACCTGGAAGGCGAGCATATCTAAAAATACTTTCCATATTGTACTCTTCTATATTTCATGTTGCCCCGTTTCGTCTGAAGCACCGGTTCTCAACCAGTGGGCCATGACTGTGCCACAGAAACATTATCAGCTGGGCCACAATTCTATCAAGAATTGATAGACTTCATGATAAATTAGTCAAATTTGATTGTATTAGAAATAAATGATAATGCTGTTTTTTGCTACTAAATGATACTTTTTATTTCAATAGTTGAAGTGAAAGCACCTATCTTAGCAAAAAATTTTTTTTTAAAAAATATTGTTTTCTCCGTAGTTTTTTTCCCTTGCGAGGGAAGGTTAATGTGCAACGAAAAGGGGGCACAAAAAAAAGGTTGAGAACTTCTGGTTAAAAACTTTTTGTAAATTAGTGGAAGCTTGTATTACCACTCTGAGTTTCCATGCAATTTGGTGTTTTTTGAATATGCATTATTCATATGTTATTCATTTTGTATGACTTTTTGATAATTTTCCACCTATCATTTTTGCCAAATAATTTATGGAATGAAGTGCAATAAATTTTATTTCTCGATATGATTTTCTATTGTTTGTGTGTGCCATCTGGATATGTGATTTATGGGAGATTTATTCCGTTGATATTTCTTTTCACTATATTATACCTGGTTTGCCGCCAGTACCTGGCAGTGTTTGATAACACCACCACATGACAAGATGTGAGTCTGGCGTTTGGACGGGACCAATTTTTTTTAAATATAAATTTTGTAAAATCTCGTGAACCATGCTCAAATACTATACGACATTTAGTACTTTTATGGCTCAATGACCAATATAAAACAATCATTTTACATAACATTTATGCCCCCAGAAATTACCCAATGTGAGAAGGCAGCGCTTATTTGCCATTGGCGAGTTTTTGAGAAGGTGACGTAGCTTTACTTAGCAAAATGAATGCTGTTGAAAGTTTTCACTCATTGACACCTCCCACCTATTATATTGCTATAGACTGTATTGAGCAAAACTTCATTACCAAACATAAAATAAACGATAAAATTCACTAGAGATGAAATTGATAACTTTTAGTTTTTTTTTGAAAAATAGCAACCCATGAAAACATGCGCGCGACCCATAGGTTGGGAACACTGGCATAGGCCAAGTTGGAAAGAAATGCTACACTGGCCTGCATAACTATAATTACCACGAGGGCCGCAAGCATAAATCTAAAGGCCCTGGGGCCTTAAACTTTGCCACATACATATTTCACAAGATGAACTACAAATCAAAATAATATTGTGTTACAGTTAAACTTAATGAAACACTTTCATTACTGGGGAGCTTGAAAATATGAAGAATCTTATTTTCTTGAGTAAAAACAAGGTACAGTATTTTTGCATATGAGATGGCAAATATGTATTTAGTGGTTCATCTACTTTGGAAACCCACCCTTCATTTTCAATATTTCTTTTTATTAGAATTAGGTATTGCGTGTTGCAGTATAAACTGACTGCCTGGGAATATTTCACTCAGGTTCAGTTTTGTGAAATCGTTCCAAATATATGTATGACTCATATCTACCATTATTGGATATTTCCATTGTAGGCTAGACAAACAATCCGTTTAGTAGCAATAGATTATCCTCTGTTGTACTTTTTTGACTGTTAAATTACATTTTTTGCTCTGCTCTGCTACAATCTGCTCCAATTTATTTGTAGCAATATCTTTTGTGCGAGAATTTCTGCACCATTCATAAATGAAGGAATTGATTTTTAAGTTCTAAATTTGAATCAAAAAGAAACTTCAGTTTCATAAACTGCTAGTAAAAATAATGGGATTAATAATAGGTTGCTAATATGTACCAATGGGTGTGAGATTGTATACCGATATTGTTGTAAGCGTGATTCAGTCTGAATACTGGGATATCTAAATCAGGGTTTCCCAAAATGGGGGCGGGGGTCGAGTGACGAATTTTAGGGGTCGCGAAGGGCACACCAATTTCACACAAAGTTCGATATTTATTGGAACTAGTGCAAAATATAAATCTCACGATTTCGAATATGATCGAAGTAGCGGCGCGCTTGCATAACAATGCCGGCTTTGATTGGTAGACCCGAGAAGTGGCGTGTTTCCATATCACCCGCGGGCCGCACAGGAGTATCCAGCGGGCCGTATGTTGTGCAGGTCTGCTTTACTGTGAAATCGATTATTGTCGCGAAATCATCTCAGGCAGATTTGAAGTTTCGTTTATTTTAATTCAAAATAAAATTCAGGGGCCCAGATGGGCAGTTGTGAAAATACACTTCCACGTCATGTTGCAGGAAATAACGCTATACTTTGACTTACCATACGTCCCTGTTTAGTAGTGTTGAGCACAAACAGGATTCAGGACTCCGAAAAACAGGACTCCGGCAGGGTTTTCAACAAACAGGATCGGATCAGGAGTGGGAACATTCTTGGTTGCCCGGAGTCCCAACTAAATCTATAATATACCGTGACCGATAGAAGTACCGTACGTCTGTACGTACCGGTGCAGGCATAATTTGAACGGACTTGAATTATCTGTACCGTACATAAATATTTATACATAATCGTGCTTCTTCAGGATGCTACCGGTACCATTTATGAATCTGTGTTTACCACTTCTGTATCGGTACAAGCCTGAACTGGGTGTTTTATAATTTTAAACAGAGTTCTGGTGTTCTGTGTTTGGATGCGGTTGTCGGGTTGTAGCGAATACCGGTACCGGAACTCACATGCAGACATGCCTGTACCGGTATGTGTCGTGAATTTGGTGTGCATTACCAAGGAAATGCATCCTATACTGTTCACTGTTATGTAGAACACTCACTGTATAATCAACAGATGGAACATGCTCTTGGCGAAGAATAATGTTGAATACTTGAATGTAATTGTGGCTATGAAGCATCAGTTCTATGCAGACTTTGCAATATTCAAATGTGATTGTAGTGAACACTGAATTAATGGGGTGAGCAAGCCTCAAGCAAAATATTATTCTATGACTATAACTAATTTTTTATACGATCCCTGAATTTTGTTATGTCATTGAACATAGTAATGAGTGTGCGCTAGTGTGACTTTGCAATGTTTAGATGCTGCTGTAGTGAACACTATAATGCATAGTCAGTCCCCCCCCCATAGTCAGTGGTTTTAGTTTTAGCAATGTTTAAATGTGAGTTTGGGAAACATAATAATGAATATTTTCAGATATTCTCGAATGTTTCAGATGTCAGGATGGAAAAACATCATAAAATACATCAGCGCAGCACGTTTTTGATGTTGCTGCTGTAGTGAACACTAAATTTGGTCAATATTAGATTTGTCAACAGGAGCGAAACAGGAGTCATAGTTTTCTTTGTTCGGAGTCGGACTCCGAGTTCGAATTTTGATTTCGGATCAGGACGGAGTCGGAGTCTGAAAATTCTGACTCCGCTCATCTCTGCTGTTTAGCCGGGACAGTCACGATTTTGACAAGCATTCCCGGCGTACCGCCACTTAGATGTCCCGGTCATGCAGTCATAACTACTCTTTTTTTTATTATATATCGATGTTTTTTTTTGTTAATGGAGGCAGTTAATTTGTCATTGATTTGCAACTCGCTTCACTAGTTCAGTGAGAGAGATAGAACTACTATATATATATGTCATAATTATTATATGTAGGGTTACTATGTTTTTTTGACTTCAAAGCGGAACGCTTCCAAAGACACGACCACTTAGCTGTGATCCTGTAACTTCACAGTTTCCGATTTTACTACATAAGCCTACATATAAAGCCATCCCGGCTGTCTTCATTGAGAGTTCATGCGCATATTCTCTGTCTAAATATCGGGTTCAGTTCGAAAAAAAAGGAATATACACCAACGATACAAATGATCCAAATTTAGATTTTTTTATGTACAGCAAAAGAAAATAAGAATAATGAAATAGTCTGCCGTTTTCAAGCATTGAGATTTTCTTATTCGCACAAGCATGCTTTTTTTGTAGATAACACCTTGATGTCAACACAAGACGTTGTTCAATATTACATTCACGTGAACGTCCGAACAGGACCAATTAGAATTGATTTCACATGTGATACGTTCGCTAACAATGTTAGCCGGAAACAACGGAAATAACAAAAAAACGCATTCACCTTCAGCAGGTAGGCTACCTTTGCGCTACACAGCAACAACAGTAACGAGAACATGTTCGTGTAATATGTTAGATGGCTGAACGCCAAAGCGGGACTTTTGGCTGACTTGTCGGGACAAGACGCTAAAAAGCGGGACTGTCCCGCCTAAAGCGGGACGTAGGGTAAGCCTAATTATATGTTTAATATGCTAATTTCACTCATATATATATATAAGGTTAGCCGTACTGCTATTAAATTATTCATTGTGCCGAAAAGAAAGTGCACGTTTTTCAATGATTTGAGTATTACTAGTCCTCGAAATGGAACCGAGGATTGTCCAATCCGTCCCTGTTTTTTGTTTCATATATTTGATAAGCCTAGGTATAACGTGTATATATAATAGTATATATATAGCCAAACTTCCACGTTCTGTAAATGTGAAAAAGAGGCGCACATAAAATATGAATTCTGAAATACAATGAAGTTTAAAAAGAGTTCCCTGAAATTAGGATTACCATAATATATGAAGCAAAAAACCGGACAGTTGGATTGATCAAACCTTGGGTTCGATTTCGAGTCGTAGTAATATTCAACTCAATTAGTAATATATATTCAAATCATTGAAAAACGCACACTTTCTTTTCGGCACTTTGAATAATTTAATAGCATTCCGGCTAACGTTAGATGTGAAATTGGCATGTTAAACGTATTGTAATTACGACATGTACATAGTATTTCTAGGGAAGTGAGTCGCAAATCAGTGATAAATTGAATGACAATTTTGTATCGATATTGAATTGAAAGAAAATTATGACTGCCATACTACATGACCGGGACATTCTAGTCTATTGGACGGGAAGCCGGGACAGCTTGTCAAAACAGGTATAGTAATCCTACCTAAAATAAAATACGAACGCAAGTTCATGACAAAACAAGCATCACTTCCAACGAGGAATTTTCAACTGATAGCGACTAACGAAGTTAATTGCTCATCTGGCATATTATGGTAAATGGCTACTTATGGTTTGTTTTGTTACACAAAAAACATCCCAATGTATATATATAAATATAAAACGAAATGCCAACCTAATTTAGTTGTGTGTTTATGTATATATATATACGTGTAATTAGGATTGGTTCGAAATCAGATGTTCAAAACATGGCTCCAATTTGGTACAGTGTATTCGCAATAACGCATTCAAGTGATTATCTGTCAGTCTTGCCCTAGTTTTGATTTGTTGAGGTTCATAATTGTGTTGTTAGGAAGACTGATGCTGGAAAATTTACTTTTTATATTTGGAGAAATGACTTCCAAAACTTGCATCATTCATTCGCGGAAAAGTTCCCCTTCAACAAATGGGCGATAAGATGTGTTTTGTCCCATAATGGCGTTTAATGTTGTATTCCTTCAGAAGTTTGTTGGCAAGAAAGACAAATCGCTGAAGTTTGAATATTTTCAATAAAGAAAT